CGTCCTCTCTGCCAGCCCCACCCGCCTGCTCCGCTCCTGCCACGCCAGCGCTCGGAGGGCCCTCAGCTCCTGGGGAGCCCAGGACGTGCCCCTCTCCTGGGACGCGTGTGCAGCGGCCGGAGCCCGCGTGGTGACCTGGAGCGGGCACACCCGCTGCGGCCCGCGCGCCCTCACCGCGTCAGTGGGGGCGGCTCTGGCCACACTGAGCACGGGGAGGCCCCCAGAGCCCCTGTCCTGCCGGCGAAACCCCAGCCCGGAGGCTGGACCAGCCTTCACCCAGGGCCTCCGCTGGGGGCACAGGCGCCGGGGCAGATATGTGTGGGGCATTCTCTTCTCCATTCACATCCCAACGCGCTTCCCGGGCCCAGCGGGCTGAGACCAGGAGGCAGAGGCGTCCTGGCCCCGGAGGCGCCGCACGGCAGGTGTGGCTTGGCAGCAGAGGCCAGCAGGCCCGCCCAGGGTGACCCTGCGTGCAGTGGGCAGGCGTAGGGCCGGGAGCAGAGGCCCTGGGCCTTAGCAGGTGTGGCAGCGCCAGGCGCCAGGGCTGTCCTGAGAACGGGGCGGTACAGACGCCTTGAGGCCGCAGGCCCAGAGCGCGCCTGCCCCCCTGTGCAAATCTTGGGGGACCGCAAGGCCAGCCGCCCTGGGCTGCCCCTGGGAGGGCGCTGGGCGGGGCCGGGGCGGGGCCCGCGGGCGGGCCTGGGGGCGGGCCCGCGGCGCGGGGTTTCTCTGGGGCCTGCAAACCCGAAATTGCAGGTGAAGATGGTCGCACGGCCCTTGCTGCACCGAAGCCCCGCGGGTTGCGCTCTGAGCCGGCGGCCGCGGGGGCTGTATCCCCTGACACGGCAGGGGTCACCCTGCCTCGGGGAGCAGGCGGCCGGCGAGGGGCCCGGGCAGGGCGCCCTGGACGCGGCCGTGGCTCGGAGGGCGCAGTGCTCGTCCCTGGTGGTGGAGTGAGAAGAGGGGCCTCCCCTGGGCTGGGGCTTGTCCTTGATGGACGCCTCCCAGAGCTGCGGTGCGCGTGGGAGGCGCGGGGGTGACAGGACTCCCGGGGGCAGAGCCCTGTGGCCTCGCGTGCACAGGCCCAGGCCCAGGCCCGGCGGGGCCTCCGCGTTTGTCCGGCCGCCACTTCCCAGGAAGCAGGGGGAGCAACAGGTGGAGAGAATCCCGCGGAGGCGAAGGAGCCCAGCCCTCCGGAGCTGGCTCTCCCAACGCCCGGGCGCAGGCGCGGCCAGCTGGGGCCGCCCGCGAGGGCCCCCGCGTCCCCGGGCACACACACTTGAGCACGTGCTCGCGGGTGGCGTGGGCGCGTAGGCTCCTGGTGCACGCGTAGGACAGTCAAAACTCCAGGGCGACACTGGCAGCAAACGCTCGGAAAACAGATTTTGCAGGGAATTTGAGCTTTGTCACCGACATTGTTCACACTCGTCGCGTGTGTCAGCAGATCCCACGTGTCGCTGGCCTGCCCTTGTTCTTGCGCCCCCGTGACCTGCACCTCGGGCAGAGGGACCCCCAGCGCACCCCAAGGGGAGCCGCCCCTGGACACCACCCATGGACAGAAGCTGGGAAGGGCTAGGGATGGGGGTGCTGGGAGCCCTGGGCACCCAGTGGTCATGGAGACCGTGAGCAGGAGGCAGACCCCCTGAGGACCCCACCTCTGGTGTGGACACCTTGACGGGTCTCCCCCAGAAGGCAGTGTGGGCATGCTGGGACCTCTGCTCAGCCACCCCACTCCTCTCCCCTGGTGACACCGCCCGCAGCATCACCTGTGGCACCTGGGTCTGCTCAGACTTGGCCGGTGGGGGCAGCAGTGACCAGGGGGAGGAGGGGGCGGCAGGTGTGGGCCTCCGGCTCCCCTGCCAGGCTGTGGCCACCTTGGCGGCCGTGCCAGCGCGGGGCCGAGGGGGACGCGCCGAGCGGTGGGTGTCCCGCGGCCGTTCCTGGCCTTTTCGGTTCCAGCTTCTCAGTCAAAGGTGGAAAGGGTGGGAGGGAGCAGGCCCGCGGCGTCCGCGTCCCCCCAGGGTGCCCGCCCGCCAGGGTGCCCGGGAGGTGCAGGTAGTCCCTGCCCAGGCTGGCCTGTCTCCGCCTCTGCGCCCTCCCCCTCCTCCCCGCCCTCCTCCCCGCCCCGCCCCTCCCCCTCCTCCTTTACCCCTCCCTCCTCCCTCTCCCTCCGCTGCCTCTTCCCTCCCTCCTCCCCCTCCCTCCTCAGCACCCTCTTCTGTCTCCTCCTCCCTTCCTCCTCCACCTCCCTCCTCCCTCCTCCTCTTCCCCCCCCCCCCCCCGCTTCCTGCTCTCTTCTCCTCCCCCTCCCCCTCCTCCCTCCTCTCCCCCTTGTCTCACCAGCTCTGGGCTGGGCGCTGGCCACATCCCCACTGAGGACCTTGCATCAGCTGTGCCCTCCCGGACAGGCCCCAGTCAGCTGCCGGCTCTGCCTCGGCTCCCCCGCAGGCCTGCAGCCCCCCAGGCGCTCACCTCCAGCGTATCCGCCCTTCCCACCAGAGTGGGGACCCCGCGGAGGGCGTCTGTCTGTCCCCCCTGGCCAGAGCGCGGTCAGCACCGAGGACAGTGCCGGCACAGCGGGTGGGGGCTGCTGAGCGCAGCGAGTCACTGTCCCGTGGGGCCCAGCATCGTGGCTGTCGGGGTGAACGCGGGCCCCGGCCTGACCTGAGGGCTCTGGAGCAGGGGCCAGGGCCACGTCTGCCCCCACCCCCGGCCTCGGCAGGGCCGTGTGGCCCTCGCTGCCTTCGCTGCTCTTAGAGCGCGTGAGCTCATGGCCCGTGGCCTCCTTCTGGAGCAGGGTGGGGGGCCGCTCGCCCGCTTGTGGGACGCGACTCCGGGAGACTTTCTTGCAGTTTCTTAAAAAGCTCACCCTGTGCTCCCGCGTAGCCCAGCACCCCGTCTCGGGGAGTCTGCCCGGGAAAGAAGAGGGATGAACCCACAGGCTGGCATGCACGTCCACAGGTGGCCCAGCCGGGAGAAGCCGAGGCGTGGACACCAGCCCCACGCTGTGCGGTGGAATATTACTCGGCCCTGAAGAGGATGGCAGCTGGGTACAGTTCACATGGTGGATGGACCTTGGAGACATGTGCTGAGGGGAGGAGGCAGGCGCAGAACATGCCTCAGATGGGACAGCTGGCCGTGCCAGGAGAGGCGGCTCTGGAGGCTGCAGGGGCGTCAGCGGGGCCAAGGAAGGGGCGGGGCACGTGAATGGGCCCGAGAGGGGTGGGGGTGATGGCCGTGTTCTGGGTTGGGGTGGTCACCGCACAGTCCTGTGAGTTTGCTGAGTCAGAAGCAGGGGACAGTGCGCCTGGGTGAGTGGATTCTGGTCCCCATGCCTTGGTGGCACTGAGAAGACAGAAGACCAGGGGGCCTCCCTGGGGGCGCAGGGGTTGTCTCAGGCTGTGAGGCAGGCCGCAGCTGCTGCAGCCCGAGTTCGGTCCCTGGCTGGGGAGTTGCCCACATGGCGCAGCAGACCTCTCCTGTCTCCCCACGGCTCCCCTCAGCAGTGGATTTCAGTGGATCCGCCTGCTCTGCTCCCCACTCTGTCTCTGGTGAGTCCTCGCGCCCCCCACCCCGCACCTCTGGCCTGCACCCCAGTTCTTGTATGCACAAATAAAAAAAGCATTAAAAAAAAAAAGGAAAAAGAAAACCAGGAGGCGGAGGTGTACAACGTGGCCCTCCAGAGGCGCCCACGGGGGACGCGGCGTGTCCCCCTCACCCTGTGGACAGAGACGGGGGCTCAGCCTGGCGACGCCGAGTGACTCAGCAGGAGAGGCGCTCCCCGCGAGCCGGTGGGGTGGCGCGGACCCCAGCTCGGGAGGATCCCTAGACGGCGCGGTGCTTGCGCAGGGTGGGCGGCAGTGCTCCCGGGGCAGCAGCGGGCAGCGCCGTCCCCGCGGGGAACCTCACGCCGCCCCGGCGCATGCGCAGTTGATAGGCAAAGGACACGCGTGCCCCGCAGCTGCAGCCCGCGGGGGCCTCACCCCGTGACCCCGGAGCTCGCGTCTCCAGGGAGCTGGGCGGGCGGGCTGGTGCGCTCGGATATAGCGGTGGGGAGCCCCTCGAGGCCCCTGGGGAGGGGTGGCTTCCATGTGAAGGAAGCATTCCCGGCCCAGCGGCCCTGCAGGAGGCTCAGCTGCAGGTCCCTGGAGGGCCAGGTGGGGAGCTGGTCTCGTGTGGACACCCTGTTTATTCGCCCGACATTTTGATCGGTCTCTGACCTCCAGGGGCATATGGTCCAGGGCATATGGTCAGGGCTCTGCGGGCTCTGGGGTCCCCTCTCTTTCGGCCACGGCCAGTTTCCCTCCCTGCTTCCTTCCACCCGCCGCTTTGGCCCTGCCGAGGACCACACCTCGCTGCAGAACATAGGGGTGCAGCCGCGGAGCATCGGGGTGCAGCCCTGGGGCAGGCATCCTACCCCCAGGGAAGGCCGGCGGTGGCAGCAGAGTGAGACTGGCCTGGGGCCATCCCGCCCTGCCTCAGCGCCTTAGCAAACACCCAGAGTGCCTCCCGGGCACCATGTCCTGCGGCTCCCCAGGTACGACCTGCCCTGGGTGGCCCTGCTGTGGCCTCCTCCCCTCGCAGGCCGGGAGGGCAGTGTCGTCCCGTCTGCTCTCTTGCCATCCCCGGGCCGCGCACCCCAGCCCACAGCCTCCAGGCGCGTTACCAAGCCTGACCGGTCAGTGACCCTCTGAGTTTAAATGGAAGGAGCGGGTGTGGCCGGAGGCCGCACTGTGCTGGACACATGGGGGCGAATGGCGGCTGCTCGTCCTCTCGGACCTGGCCCTGGCCCCCACAGGGCGAGGACCGGCAAAGGAGGACCCAGCTGGGCTCCCCCAGGGTGCCCGGGGGGGGTGTGGCGGCTTCTGGAATCTGTTTCTTCCCACGGGCCTGTCATGGGTTCAGCCCTAAAGGGCGCCCGCTGGAGCCCCTCCGTGTGCTCAGGGTGGCTGGACCGTCCCTCCTGGCCCAGCCCCACAGACAGCCGCACTCGCTCTGGCTTCACGAACTCACATTTATTCACAGACAGACACGGGGACAGGGACAGACCTCTGCTCACGGGGCCCCGGGTCTGGCAGGCCAAAGAGCTGGTGGTGTCCAGTGTGTACAGTGGGGACGGCCGGCGGGGGGCGGCCCCGCCAGTCTCCGTCCTCCGGCCAAGTGTCCTCCGCCTCCTTTCCAAGTCCTCCTGCCTTAAGACACGTGTTGGGGTGAGCAGTTCCTAGCCAGCATGGGGGGCCGAGGGCGGTGGGGAGGGAGGGGCGATCCAGGACCCCCCTCTGCTTAGTGTCGCGCGCTGGAAGGGGAGGAGGGGCGGGTGGGCAGAGGAGGGGGCTCGCCTTCGGCTGCCCTCCTCCGCCTGGCAAACCGGGGGGCTCCCGCGGAGGGGACGGGGTGGCTGTGGGGTCAGGAGGCCAGGCCCCCCAGCCCGCGCAGGTGCGCCTTGCTGTCCAGCTCCTCCTCGTCCATCTCGAAGGCGGAGTGGTCTTGGCTGTCGAAGCAGGAGGCGCTGAGGAAGACCGGGGGCGCCGGCGGCGACTGGGGCGGGGTCCCGGGGGAGGGCGGCTCCTCCTTGATGAGGGCGGGGGCCAGCGGGAGCCCCGCCTCGTCCTGGCCGGCCGGCGGGGGCGGCGGGGGCGGCGGGGGCGAGGGCGGGGCCTGCGCCTGGAGCGCCTGCAGCGCGGCCGCCCTCTCCAGCTCGGCGCGGTGGCAGCGCTGGTGGCGCAGGAGGCTGTAGGCGCGCGAGAAGCGGCGCGGGCAGCGCGGGCAGGGGTGCGGCGCCGGGCCCCCCGCGTGGACCTGCGCGTGGCGGGCCAGGTCGGCCAGCCGCTTGAACTCGCGCTGGCAGCGCACGCACTGGAAGGGGCGCGCCCCGGAGTGGGTGACCCCGTGCTGCCGCAGGTGCGCGCGGCGCCGGAAGCCCTTGCCGCACTCGGGGCACCAGAAGCGGGGCTCCCCGGCGGGGGGCCGGGCCGGGGCGGCCTCCCCGCCGTTCTGCCCGCCCTCGCCGCCGGCCGCGGCGCCCTCGCCGCCCTCGGGCCCCTTCCCTGAGTGCCGGCCGCCGGCCGCCTTGTCGTCCCTCTTGGGCGCCGGCAGCGGGGCCAGCAGGCTGAGCGCGCCGTGCACGCGGCGGTGCTGGCGGAGGTAGGAGGCGAGGCGGAAGGCCAGGCCGCAGTCCGGGCACACGAAGGGGCGGTCGGTGGAGTGGACCAGCCGGTGGCGGGACAGCGACCAGGGCCGCGCGAAGGCCTTGAGGCAGACGGGGCACTGGTGGCGCTTGGGCCGCGGCGGCGGCCCGCCCTCGCCCTCCTGCTCGCCCTCGGGGCGCAGGCACGGGTGCGCCTTCAGCTCGCCCTTGGTGGCGAAGGCCTCGCGGCAGCGCAGGCACAGCAGCGTCCAGTCGGCCTGCAGCAGCACCTGCTTCTCCTCCTGCCGCCCGGCCGCCAGCGCCAGCTCGGCCCGCAGCTCCGCGGCCCCGGCCTCGGCGGCCGCCGCCGCCTCCGCCTCCCGGGGCTCCGCGCCCGCGGGGGCCGCCTGCGGGGCCGGCTCCCCCGCGGGCCAGGGCTCGGGCCACGCCGCCTCCTCCGCGGAGCCCGCGGCCGCCGCGGGGCCGGGCTGCTCGGCGCCGGGGTCCGGCGAGCCCGGCCGGACTCGGCCGCCTCCTTGGCCGCCCTCTCGATGGCCAGCTCGACCTCGCCGCCCGCGTGCTCCTGGGCCAGGTGGCGCCGCAGCTGGGCCGGCTCCGGGAAGGTGCGCGGGCAGGCGGCGCAGCGCAGCGGGGGCTGCGGGCCGTGGCCGCGCAGGTGGCGGGACAGGTGCGCCGGCCGGCGGAAGGCCTTGGGGCACAGCGGGCAGGCGTGGGGCCGCAGGCCCGAGTGGCTCAGCCGGTGCCGCGAGAGGTAGTAGGGGAAGCGGAAGAGGCGGCCGCACGTGGGGCAGGGCAGGGGCGCGCGGGGGGCTCCCGCGCCCCCTCGGCCGCGGCCCCGGCCTCGCCCCCGGCCGCGGCCCCGGCCCCGCCCCGGCCCCGGTGAGGCGGGCTGCCCTGGGCGGGCGGCGGGGGCTGCGGATCCATCCTGCAGGGGGGGGGGGGGGGGGGGGGGAAGCAGACAGGGGAGGGGCGGCGAGGGCAGGTGTCGGGCCGGGGAGGGGGAGGCCGCGAGGGGGGGGGCGGCGGGAGACACGGACAGGCGGACGGACGGACGAAGACGCAGACAAAGACGCAGACAGACACGACGGAGGCGGAGCGAGCAGGGGCCGCGGGGAGGCAGGGGCCGGGGAGGCCGGGGGAGGGGGGAGGGAGGCCGGGGAGGGAGGCCGGAGAGGGAGGCCGGGAGGAGGGAGGCCGGGGAGGGAGGCCGGGGAGGGAGGAGGGAGGCCGGGAGGAGGGAGGAGGGAGGCCGGGGAGGGCGGCCGGGGAGGGAGGCCGGGAGGGCGGCCGGGGGCGCGGGCAGAGCCCGGCCGGGCGGGGAAACAAAGGGAGGGAGGCGGCGGCGCGGACGGGGTCGCACGTGCGGGCGGCGGGGCGGGCGGCGGGCGGGGCGGGCAGGGCAGAGGGGCGGAGAGAGGACACGGGTCAGTGCGGGCCTCTGCTCTCCCGGCCCTGCGGGGCGCTGCAGGCCGCGCCCGGGCTCCGCGGCGGGGGCGGCGGGGGTGTCGCGCGGGGCCCCGGCGCGGGGGGCGGCGGGGGTGCCGCGCGGGGAGAGGCGCCGGGCCGGGCCGGGCCGGGCCGGGCCTGCGAGGAGGGGCTGGGCCGCGGGCGGCCGGGGGGCGGGGGCGGGGGCGGGGGCCGGGCCCCGGGGTGCGGGGCCGGGTCCCAGGGACGGGGCGGGGCCCGGGCCGGGGGGGGGCGCCCGCGGAGGGGGGCCCGGCCGGCGGCTCCGGGCGCGGGGCGGGAGCGCGCGGCCCGCGGGGGCGTCGGCCGGGCCGGCCGGACGGGGGCTGGGCGCGGGCCCGGGCGGCCGCGAGGCCGCGTCCTTACCTCCGCCTCCGGCCCTGTCTCCTGCCCGCGGCCGGGCGGACGGTGGCGGCGCGGGGAGGCCGAGCCCGGAGCGGGAGCGGCGGTGCCACCGCCTAAGCCTTCCCCCCGGAAACCCGCGCGCTCGCGCCGGGGGGGCGGCCGGCCGCGGGCCGGAAGCGGGGGGGCGGGGCGGGCCGGGGCGGGGGCCGCCCCGCCGGGGTCCCGCTCGGGGGTCCTCCGCGCTCCGCAGAGGGGCGGGCCGGCCCGGAGGTGGGGCGCAGCCCCCCAGCACACGCGCCCTCATTCATTCCGCCCGCGAGCGCAGGCGCGCGCCGGCCCGGGCCGCGGGGCGGCGGGGACGGGCGGCGGCCGCGCCCCGGGAAGGACCCGCGCCCCCGGCGGCCGAGCGAGCGCCTCCCCCGAAGCCGTCCCGCGTGCTCGCTCCGTCCCGGGCGACCCGAGCTTCCCGCGGAGACCGGCCCTGCGGGCCTGGCCTGCACCGCCCGCCGCGCACCTCCCCAGGGCCGGCTCTGTCCCGGGTGCTGGAGCCACAGCCTCGCGGACGCACGGGCACCGTCTGAGGGGGAGCCAGGCCGGCCAGACCCACCCGCCCCCCTGGAGAGGCGGACGTGGGTGGGGGGTGGCCCAGAGCCCAGAGGAGTCCTGCGCTGGGCTCACACTGGAGGGGGGTGATCCCTGGAGGTCTTCCTGGAGGCGGCGGCGCTTCCGTGAAAGCTGCAGGATGAAAGCCCAGGCTCGGGCGCAGGGCAGTGGAGTCGGGAAAGGCGTGTTGCAGGGACATGGCCCGCTGTGGTGCTGCTTGAAGAAATGCCTGTTAGGGCCTCCCCTGGTGGCGCAGCGGTTGAGCGCTGGGTTGCGAGGCTGCCCGCAGCCTCTGCAGCGCCAGTTCGATCTCCGGCCGCCGGTGAGGGTCCCACAAAAAAAGAACAAAAAAAGAAAAAAGAAATGCCCGTTAAACACCGTGGACGAGCGCGTGGGCCAGCAGGACCGCACAGGCATGGTTTGGCGAGTGCCTCTTGAGCCGCCGCAGCCAGGGTCAGTCCCGGGAACCACCCATCTGCTAGGTCTGCCTGCTCGTGCCCATCCACCGTGCTATAGGGATGAGCTCGGTGCTGTCGTGGGGCCAGCACTGGCCAGAGTTGCCCACCCACGGGTGCTCGCCTCCACCCAAAGATGGAAAGGCCCCAGGTGATCATGTGAGGGGCTCCGTGGAGCTGGGGGCTGGCGCCTGCACTGGACGCAGCAGCAGGGGGGGGGAAGGCGATGGCTGCACTGTCAGTTCCAGGAACAGGCTTTCCACATCCCTTCTGCAGGTTTTAAAAGTGGAGACCACAGGAAAGGCCTGAGGAAAGGAAGGTGGGGGGGGGGTTGTCAAGATAAAATAAGAGTCAGCCCTTCAGACCCCTCCCTCTCCCACTCTTCCCACTTCGCAGCGAGGGAAAGGGAGGGGCTGGCCGGGTTCAGGGTGGAGAGTCTGGGGGTCCTGTCGCTTCAGAGAAGTGGGGGCCAGCACGCGTGTGTTCCGAAGCTGCTGGTAGGATAGAGGGTGTTTCCTCGGAGACCTGTGTTTGGAGTAAACAGGAAAGACGCCCATGGAAACTGGGCCACTTCGGGGAAGGGGAGCTGAGAGGAGGTGGGGGGTGGCCCTGGGGGGCCAGGCTGTGCCTGTGCGGTGTGGCTGGTAGTCAGTCAGGGTGTGCGTGCCCATGTGTGTGCATGTGTGCACGTGTACATATGGGTGTGAGCGTGTCTTGCATGTGTACGTGTGTGTGTGTGCGCGAGCATGTCCGTATGAGCGCGCACATGCTTGCTTTTTCATTTGGTCAAATACACGTAGAAGACTTACCACTGCCGCTAATTTTTTTTTTAAGATTTATTTATTTATTCATACAAGCACTGGGTACAGTCAGAAGCGCGGGAGGGTGAGAGAATCCACCAGAGCCAGAGCGGGGAGCAGAGCAGGCAGAAGGACCAAGGTACACTGCTGAGGGGAGCAGCGGGCGGCAGGAGAGGTCTGCGCGCCATGTGGGACCCTTGCGGCGGCTGGGGATTGAACCAGCGCTGCAGAGGATGCAGGCAGCTTCCCAGCCGAGCCCTCAACCGCTGCGCCACCAGGGGAGGCCCTGCAGCTATTTTTTTTTTTTTAATTTATTTATGTGTCTTAAGAGCTGGGGCCGAGGCCAGAAGTGTGGGGGGTGAGAGGACTCACCAGAGACAGAGTGGGGAGCGGAACAGATGGATCTACTGAAATCCACTGCTGAGGGGAGCAGTGGGGAGACAGGAGAGGCCTGCTGTGCCATGTGGGTAGCTCCCTGGCCAGGGATCGAACTTGTGCTGCAGTGGCTGCAGACAGCTTCATAGGTTGCATCTTAACCCCTCACGCCCCCCAGGGAGGCCCCCATTGCTGCTATTTTAAACCACACAACCCGGCGACTGAGGGATGATCAGGGCTCTGAGCCCCGGATGCCTTACCAAGCTCCAGGACATTCTGCCACCCAGTCCATTAAGCAGTCGCTTGCCAGCCCTCTCCCTCTGGCAGCCCCGGCATCTCTGAATCCAGGGGGTGCCCACCCGGGCCTGGCGCAGCAAGAGGGCTTTCACCCGCTGCAGGCTGAGCCGGGCTGCCTCTACCCAGCAGGGTCTCCAAGGCCTGCCCTGTGCCTCCCCGCTCTTCACGGCTGTAGTACTCCCCCCACAGCGGGCTTTCTGTGCTTTGGGTCAGCTCTTCCCTGTCGCCTGCTGGCCTGGGTGCGGTTAAGGGCGTTTGTGAGTAAGTTCTTGTGTGACCACCTGTTTGTGTGTCAATATTTTAAAATATTTTTTCCCGAGAGGAAGGAAAGAGGCAGAGAGGAGAGAGGGGGGAGGAAGGAATTCAGGAATGGGGTGGCAGGAGAGAAGCGAGCCGGGCGGGCAGGGACCCTGGCTGGGGCGCTGGGGCGCGGCCGGCCCTGCGTGGGGCCCTCAGGCGGTCAGGGCGGCCGAGGCGGCTGCAGCGGCAGGCGGGGCGCATTCCGCGCCCTGGGAGCCCCTGAGAGGGGTGAGGGCTGGATAGCCACGTGATGGGATTAGAACTTAGGGAAACCCCCGCGGGGCCCGCGGCCGGGCAGGAGCCTGGACTCGAGGCGGCTGGAGGGGCGGCGGGCGCAGGGGAGCGAGAGGAGGGGGCGCGCGGGGCGGGCGGCGCTGGTTGGCTGGGGAGGCAGCGGCCGCCGATTGGCCTCCTGCTTCCAGCCCCGTCCAGTCTCGGCCGCTGAAGCCCCATGACGTCACCCCGCCCGGGCCCCCTCGGGGCCGGGCCCCCTCGGGGGCTCCCTCCCTCCCTCGCTCCGCCTGCAGGGCCTGCGGGTCTGGCGCGTGGGGCCTCCCTCGGCGCCTGGCCGCAGGCACAGCCACCCCGTGCCCGTCCTTCCGACCTCCCGGGTCGGGGTAGCCCTGGGGCGGCTCGCACTCCCCGCTGGGAAGCGTCTGGCTGCCAGGCGGCCCCTAGATCCCTGTCCCCCACTCAGAGCCCGAGGGCTGGGGGCAATTTGCCCGTTTGCCGGCTCCCTCGGCGCCTCGCGCAGAGAAGGGGCTGCACGCGTGTTTGTGGGTGACTCCCGAGGGGGAGCGGGAGGAGGACGAGGTGGCCGCGGGCTTCAGGCGCTGGCCCCGGCCCGGCAGGCGGCGGTGGCGGGCGAATCCCGGCCGCAGGCGGGGAGTTGGGCGCCGGGAGAGTCAGCGACGCCCCAGGGCGGCTGGGGTCGCGCCCGGGGAAACGCGCGCCGAGCTCCCCCTCCGGCGCACACCCGCCAGACGGGCGGGGACACAGCAGGGCCGGGCGCTGCGGGCTGGGCGGGCCCAGAGGGCGGTCCGGTCCCCGGGGCGGCGCCTCTAGCGCCGGGGGGGGGGGGGGGGGGCGGCCGAACCCCCGCGAGCGCACAAAGTTGTTTCTCAGCCGCCAAGCGCCGAGTCTGGACCCCGCGGGCGGCGGCGTGGGGCAGCTGAGCGTCCGGCCCTGCCCGGGGTCTTTCCACGGGCCAGCTGTGAACGGCCCGGAGCAAAAGTGTCCCTTGAAGGCCGAATGCTTGCTCGCCCCGCACCCCCATCTGCATGTCCCCCGACGTGAATCTCGCTCCTTGTGAAACTCAGGCGCCGAGGTCGGCGGGGCCGTGGAAACGTTCTGACGCGCAATTTAACGAATAATCAGAGTCACAGCCAGAGGGAGACCTTGCCGCGCCCGCCGCGCCTGCTCCAGCCCCAGCCCCAGCCCCGAGCCCGCCCCGCGCCCGTCCCCGCCCCGGCAGCCCCTGCGCGCTCTCGGTGCGGGGACGCTCCCGGCCGCTCGCCGCGGAGACCCCGGCCGGCCCGCAGGCGTCGGGACTGGACGTGCAGCCCCGGCCGCTCCCTGCTGCCCGCCTGGCGCCCCCAGCGCTGTCCGCCGCCGCCCGGGGAGGGGCGCCGCAGCCTCTGCCCCCGCTTCGGAGGCTCCCCTTCGTGACCTGACCACCTTCCCGGCCCCACACCCCGAGGGCTTTGGGGTTTCAGCATCTGGGTCTGGGGGCACAGGCAGAGCCGCTGGCGGAGGTCAGCTGCGGGGTGGGGGGCGCTTCCAGGGCCTGCGGGTGCAGGTGGACAGGACACGGCGCCCGGCGGGGTCAGCCCTGCCTGGCGCAGGCCTGTCTGTGGCGTCTGAGAGCCGAGCCCTCGGGAGGGAACCCTCCGCGCCCGCACCCCGGAGCAGCTCTGCCCTTCCCAGGCGGCCGCACTCGCCGTCCTCCCCGACGTCCTCCCGCCCCGTCCCCTCCAGCGCGGGAGCTGTGCACGGGGCGCGAACGCGCCCGCCCTTCCCGCTCCCCACCCCCCCCAGCCCCTGCCTCCAGGGCCCACCTCAGCCTCAGACCAAAGCCACCTCTGCCGGGAAGCCCGCCAGGCTCACCCGCCCTTGCTTCCCTCACACCCTCTTCGTGTCCTTGGGAGGCCCACGCGCGCTCCGGGCCTGCTCTCCCTGCCCGCGGCCCATGCCCTGGGACGTGTCCCCCTGGGGAGGCCCGTTTGCGGCCGGCCCCAGTGGGCAAGACGCCTGGCGCGGAACGGGCACTCGGGGCAGGAAGCCGGGCGGCAACCTGGGGGCCACCTGCTCTGGGTGCTGGATGTCAGTTCTGGGGTGCTTGTTTGGTGGCCCAGGAACTCACTGGGGGAGCCGTCTTTGGGGCTTTTTGGGGAGCACCCTTGGGACCGATGCTCTCCAGGGCGCCAGTGAAAGGGGACGCTGCCTCGGACTTGAGGGCTCTGATGGCCTGAGGTCTTGAAGCTCCTCAGCAGGGAGGGAAGATTCGCCTTTATTTAGGGAGTCTGTCCTAAGGGGGGGTCCCCCTCTCCAGCGAAGGAGCAGGAAATGAGGCGGCGGTGACTGACAGGATGAGGTTTATTGGGGTCCTGGGGACATTGGGGCCTGGGTGGGGGCGAGGTCGAGGCTCATGGGGGCCCCTCTAGCCAAGCCCCTCTGCCCCTTGGGGTGGGGACAGAGACAGACAGACCAACAGCAATGGAAGGGGCAGGCGGGTGCCCGGGGCCGCCTCCCCCACTCAGAGGGGTTGCAGGATGGAATGACGCGGACGGGACACACTGGGGCAGGGAGTGGGGGGGTGTCGGGGTCTGCCAAGTCCTGCTAAGGAGGGGCGCAGGCCACACCTGGGGCTGTCCACGATACGTGGGTGGGGCCTGTGCTCCGGTCAGTCCGTCCTACTGGGTGGGGGGTCTGGAACCGGCCTAGCCTAGCGGTTGGGGTTGGGGTGTCATTAGGGCTGATGTGCTCCACAGCAGGGAGCCCTACAGGGGGCCCGAGGGCAGGGGCACTGACCCTGGTCCTCTTTCAGCATCGGGAATGATGTGGGGGAGGCAGATTCAGGCTATATCCATTTTCTGGGGACACCAGTGACTCTAGTGGGTAGTATTTGGAGGAGATCCAGGGAAATTTGGGGGCATGGCCCCCCCACATTCTCCAGATCAAGATATCTGAGTGGTTGGGAATGATGGCTCTCGGGGAGAGGGGCTGTCTCCCCTTGGGGGGCGGCCCCTCTTTCATTATCAGGCCCCTCATGGTGGCAAGTTCTTGGGAGGCCACGGCTCCTTGCGGGGCCTCCCGCCGCCCGGGCGGCCTGTGGCTTGGCGAGGGGGTGCCCGGGCGGGTTCCAGGGACCTCCAGTTGAAGAGTCTGTAGGTCAGGGGCCCCACCCTGCGGGCACCTCCGTCCACGTCCGCGCGGGCACGGGGCGGGCGTCTCCGCGGCGGTGCCCCTGGCCTCGGGACCCGCGTCCGGGCTGGGCCGGGCTCCCGCGGGGGTCCCGCCCCGGGGCGGCGCCTAGTCCATGCCGCGGTGCAGCTTCAGGTGCCGAGAGAGGTTGCTGAGCGTGATGAAGCCCTTGCCGCACACGTGGCAGGGGAAGGGCCGCTCGGGGCCGTGCAGCAGGCGGTGGCGCTTGAGGTAGCACTCGTGCCGGAAGAACTTGCCGCACTCGAGGCACGGGAAGGGCTTCTCGCCGGTGTGCACCAGCACGTGCCGCTCCAGGTCGCGCGGCGAGCGGAACAGCTTCTCGCACTCGGAGCAGCCGAAGATCTTCTTGCCGCGGCCCGAGCCGGCGGCGGGCTCCCCGGCCGCGGGCGCGCCCTCGGGGGCCGCCGCCTCGGCGCCCGCGCCCTGGCCGTGGCTGGCGCGCCGGTGCTCCTCCAGGGCCGCCAGCGCCGCGTACAGCGCGCCGCAGTGGCCGCAGCCGAAGGCGGCGGGCCCCGAGTGCGCCTCCAGGTGGCCGGCCAGCGCCGCGGCCGACGCGAAGAAAGTCCCGCAGTCGCACTGGTACAGGGTGTCTTCCGACGGCTCGGCCGCGGCCGCCGGCGCCTCCCCGCCGCTCTCGGGAGCAGCGCCCCCAGCTCGGGCACGCCGCCCCCCGCGCGGCCCAGCAGCAGCCCGCCGTCCCAGGCCGGGGGCGCGGCGCCCGCCCCTGCCCCTGCCCCTGCCCCGCCGCCCTCGCCCGCCGCCTCCGAGGCGGCCCCCGCGGCCCAGGCCTGCGCCGGGGGCGCGCCGGCCGCCTGCAGGTCGTGCGTCAGCTTGTGCCGCTCCAGCAGCGCCGGCGCGTTGAAGTCGCGCTCGCAGCGCGGGCACTTGAAGGGCTTCACGTCGGTGTGCGCGGCCCAGTGCGCCGCCAGCTCGCGGCCCTGGTCAAAGCGCCGCGCGCAAGCGCCGCAGGCGAACGGGGGCAGCGAGGCCGCGGCCGCCGCCTCCGCCAGCCCCCAGCCGCCCGGGCCCGCCCCAGCCCCCTCGGGGCCCTCGCCCGCGGCCCCGCGCCCCCGCACGCCGAGCAGGGCCCCGCGTTGCAGCAGACGGAGCAGGGCGCGCTCAGGGCCGGGAGGCCGGGGCTGGGCTGCAGCGGAGCCGGGAGCACCCCGCGGTGCTGGCGCTTGAGGTGGCGCCCCAGGCTGGAGCGGGAGGAGAAGCGCAGCTCGCAGACCAGGCAGCAGTAGGGCTTCTCGCCCGTGTGGACGACCTGGGTGGCGTGGGGGGAGGAAAAGCAGGGCATCAGCGCTGAGGGTCTGGCCCGGGATCCGGGGACCCGGGTGGACCTGACTCTGCTGCCTGCGCGGGCCCCCAGGCCCAGGCCCAGCCTCAACACTCGCGCCCGAGGTCTCAGACTCAAAGAAGCCAAGTCCCTGCGGAGCACCGCGCATACTGCCCCCCAGGTGGGGCCCCCCTCCTCCAGGCCCTTCCTCAGCCCAGCAGGGCCACCAGGGGGCTGTGACCCCGGGGCGGTGATGATGCAGGCTCAGCCCTGCCTCTGCTTTTCTCTTCTGCACAGTGGGCACAGCCAAGCTGTGCCACCCCAGTGGCTGGCTGTGAGGACAGCACCAGGTCCAAGTAACAACTCAACCCCCCAAAACTAGACTTAGTGCTGAAGTTTCCCATGGCTGTGGCCCCCGAGTCAGTGTCTGTTGGGTGGTGGAGGGGAAGGTGGAGAGGGGCTTTCCCCATCCGCTGGACTCTGTAGAGACCTGTCTAGCCGAGCGAGGTCCAGCAGGGCTAGGTCCATGCTGCCCTGGGAGCAGCCACCAGCCCCGTGTGGCTACAGAGCACTTGGAATGTGGGGAGCGGGGCTCAGGAGAGCCTTTCAGAGGGCGCTGGTGGCTAAGGGGAGAGTCGGGAATAAAGGAGAGGTGCTGGGGGCTGTGTCCAGCGGACCGTGCCGTCTGCCCGCAGCCCTGTGCGGGTGGGGAGTGTGAGCTGCGCAGACTCGCAGTGATGGGATCGGAAGACCACGGCTGAGTGCTCAGCTGACCCTCTGGCTCTGACAGTTGCTGCCACAGGTCACCGTGTGGGCGTGGGTGGATGCGGTCATGCTTCCGGGCCCAGCCGAGCACTGTGCTTGGCCCAGCAGGTGCACCGTCAGTGTTCAGCGGAGCTACCGCCTCAGAGAGCTGTGACTGTCACATAAAGTAGAAGAATCCCCCAGGCTATTCTAAGGATTGGGGGTCCTGAGTGGGGGGAGTGGTGCCAGGGCACTCTGGTGGCTGCAGGGGCTGAAGATCAGTGGGAAGACACAGGCGGTGGGAAGGTGGGTTAGGAAGCTGGGCCAACAGTCAGGATGTGAGATTCTGAACCAGCAGTGCCCCGGGAGAGAGGAGGGGCAGTGAAGCCAGAGACCCAGCTGGTCCTACTCAGCCTGGGGCGGGAGTGTCCGGGATGAAGAATGAAACTCCTGACAGCCTTGCCTGTGAGTGTGTGCCCTGTCATGCCCTGGGGTGCCAAGCACCTCCTGCCCTGGGGCCTTTGCACTTGCCTGCGATGCTCTCCCCATGATGGACTCCTGCCGGGCTCTGCTCAAATCCCCCCCTGCCCCGCGGCCCGGTCTGAGCTCTACCAGGGTAGCCCGACGCGGACTGACAAATGTCCTTCCCAAGACACCTCCCTTCCAGGACATTCTTTCCTGGAATCTGCCTTCTTGTTGGCGGCCTCCTGCTCACTTCAGTGGGATCGTTCTGGGCAGGCATAGGCTCTGCTGACAGTGCCTTGGTGCCCAAGGGCTAGCAGGGGCGCAGAGTTCCTAGTGCCTAAATAAAGGAGCTGTGTACACAGGCGCGGGAAATCTATTTTTAAAGAAAGGCAAGGGGGAAGATAAACAGAATGGTAGGGGCTGGAGTGGGGGGTGGCATTTGAGCAGCCGGGGAGGGCAGGCGGTGCAGGCAGGGCGAACTGGGGTGACTGTTTCGCTTGGTGAGTGGGCTGGTGGCCGCTGGCCAGGCACTGTGGGGGGAGGAGGCAGGCGAGCGTGCAGCTGGGGACCTAGGGCTCGGGGCCACCCTGCCAGGGCCAGGCAGGCCGGGACTCACCTGGTGGTGCAGCAGGCCGGTGGAGTCCCGGAAGCCCTTGGGGCAGGCAGAGCAGCGATAGGGCCGCTCACCAGTGTGCGAGCGCAGGTGGTTGGCCAGGTTGAAGCTGTGCTTGAAGCCCTTGCCACAGCGTGGACACGCGTGGGCTTGAGGGCCGTGTGGCGGGCGAAGTGGCGCCGCAGGTCCGAGCGATAGCGGAAGCTCTTGCCACACTCGCTGCAGTGGAATGGGACCCGCGGCGTGGCGGCGGGGGGTGCGGGGGCCGGCGCCGGGGCGGGCGGCGCCGGCAGTGGGGCGTCATCCATGGTGGCGAGGTGCGAGGGCAGTGGCCAGTGGGGGCTCTCTCTGCAGCGGGGGAGATGTGAGGGAAGGTCAGGGACATCACCCGACACCCCATCAGCCCCCAGACCCACTCCATTTCCTTGGGACCCTCAAGACCACACCCACATCCAAGCCACACCCCGGGCTCCTGCAGCTGTTCCGCTCATGCACAAACTCCTAACGGCTCCTGTGCCAAGTCTCCTGATCGCCGTCAAGTCACTTGTCCCCCACTTAGACCCCGCCTCGCCGCCAAGCCCCGCCCACTGCTGTCCAGCCCACCCAGCAGGATCCAAACCCGCCCAGTGTGCCTAGGCCCGGCCAACTCGCTTGGGTCTCTCGTGCTCCCTGCAAAGCCCCGCACTTATCAGAACCCTCTGGGTTTCCCTGACAAGCCTCTCTAAATGCGCCTCCCGTTGCAAGGACGACAACATCCTCCCATGAAGATTCTCAGCCAGCGCGAGGACAGAGAATTGGGGCGGGCACCCTCGGGCCAGCCATGCAGGGGGGCAGAACAAGCCCTGGTGTGGGTGACAAAACCCACAGAAGCCCCTTGGGCCGTCGCGCGCCAGAGTGGTGTCTCGGCTTCGGCAGCTGGTCGCGCGCCTGGAGGTACCCAGGCCCTCCAGGCCGGGCAGAGTCAGAGCCTGGCCCGCCCCCTCGAAGTCATCTAACTGGATCACGCGGACTTGCTATTGCCACTGAAATTCCCCAAATGACACCCCTACGCCCCACTCCCTCACACGTTCTCCAGCCACACCCCCAGCCAGGCACCACCCCCGCTCTAAGCCCCACCCCTCCGCCTGCGCTCCATTTCCCCCCACACCCGAGTTGAGCCCTTCTACCCCTCGTCTCGGACCCGCCGCGCGGACTCGAGCAGCCCCGCCCCTCCCTGGCCCCGCCCCTCCCAGGCCCCGCCCGACCGGTGCTCCGCCCAGTCGCCGCAGGCCCCGCCTCCTCCCGCCCGGCCGCCCGCGGGGCTGCCCCTCAAGTCCGCCCGAGGGCCGGCGAGAGGGGCCTTTTGTGCCCCTCCCCCTGCCCCTAAAAGGTGCGGCCCGGGCGCCCGGGGCGGGGGCGCGGCGGGCGGGCCCCGCGGCCGGGCGAGGTCCCCGCGCCCCGACGGAGCGGGGATTCGGGGGCCCGGGGGCGGCCCCAGGAGGCCGGGGAGGCCGGGCTGCTTTCCTCTTTAATTACTTACACCTCCCTCTGGGCGCCGACATTTTGGGCAGCGGGGGCAGCGTCACTTCCACCCGGGGGCCCCTCGACTTCCGTCTGGACTCCCTTCTCCCCCGCACTCCCCTTTCTCCCGCCCTCTAGGCCTCCCCCTCCCCGCCACCCGCCCTTCTCCCCCTTTCCTGTCCCTTTCCCCGCGCGGGAGGTGAGGGAAGCCGGGTCGGCGCCATCTTGAGTGAGGGCAGAGGAGGGGCGGGGCGGGGCAGCCCCCGGCGCCATACGGACTGAGGGCACCGGGCCCGCCCGCGGCCCGTCGCCCCGGGTCGGCGCTTGCGGGCGTTAAGGTAGAGGAGGGCAGGTGTGACTCCCCTTTCGCAGCCTCAGGCTACTCCTGGGTAGGATGTAGACTCGCTTCAGGAGGAAGGGGAAATCAAGGGCGCAGACTGCGCGGCCGACCCAGGAGGAAAGCGCAGGCTCCATCTTGTCCTCGCCCCTCCAGGCGGCTCTGAAGCCTCGGGCGCCATGTTCGTTACGGGAATGAGCCGCCATTTCCCGCTCATCCTGCGTCCGGTACCTGTCTTGGCCTGGGTCCCCGACTGGGGCTGTGCGGGAGGAAAGCCGCAAAGCCTGTGGGGCCGGGGACGTGTTGGTGGGCGGCGACCGTCGGGGCCCCGAGGCCGACGGGTGTGCACACGCGCCCTGCCTTCGCGACGTGACCGTGACCGGTCCTTAGGACCCAGCGCGGCCCCTTTGTTCCCCGCGGGCGCGCGGCCCGACGGCGGGGGGCGGCGGGGGAGGGGCGGCCGGCGTGGGCCCCGAGGGGCGGGGCGTCCCGCGCGCCGCCGCCGCCGCCGCCGAGGGGCAGCCCCCGCGCCCCCGCCCCTCGCGCCGCCCGCCGCCCCCGCGCGCGCGCACAGTCGCGGGCCCAGCGACATGCAAATGAGGTACCCGAGAGGCGGGGGGCCCGGCGGGGGGAGGGGGCGGGGGGGCCGGGGCCGCGCGCTCCCGGGGCGCGCCCCCACACCTGCTCCTGCCTCCGCGCGCGCCGCGGCGCGCGCCGACCTCGCGCCCCGCCGAGCCTCCCGGGCGCGCGCGCGCAGACCCCCTTCCTGGCGGCCCCGCCGTCCGCGGCCCGCGCCGCTCATTGGCCGCCGCCCCCGCAGGGCCCGCCCCGCGCGCGGGTCTCGGCGCTCGGGGGCCCCGGACGCGCGCCGGCTTCGGGGCGGGGGCGGGGTGCGAGGGGCGCGGGCGCCCTGCCGGGGCCCCGGGTTCCAGCCCGGGCGCCCCGCCGCGCGACAGCGTGGCCGCGTAGCGCGGTGCCCCTCTGGCCGCGGCCCGCGCGCCGCGCAGCCCCCGCTCCCCGCGGCCTGCCCCCCACCCCGGCCCCCCTCGTGGCCCTCGGCCTCGGGCGGGCGGGCACGCGGTGAGGCGGGTGGTGGCCCGGCGGGGGCTCACCGCGGGCCAGCCCGGGCCCCGCGAGTCCGTCTGGCAGAGGCGGAAACTGGCCCCGAGCTTAGGGCCAAGTCAGCTGTTGGCAGGGACAGGGCTGGATTCGAACCCAGGGCCGGGACCCTGCGCCCCACCCCCGGCCGCCCCTCGGGTCCGTTCCTCTCGCTGCCTGGGCCGGCTCCAGTCTGGGCCCCGCCACGCACCGGCGGGGAGCTGGGCTCGCCCGTGCTCGGGTCCCCGCGTGCAAGGCGGGGCTTCTCCGAGGGCCGGCGCGTGCAGACCGGCCTCCCGCGTCCTGCTTTGCCAAAGGCTTCACGGGCTCAGGAGCCAGGGCCTCGCCCGCCCGCCCGCCCGCCCGTGACTCCCGCGGGGTGTGCACCTGCTGCCCCCCTGGCCGCCCAGCCCAACACCTGGGAGCAGCTCCTTCCTCCAGGCCTGAGCCCTCCCCAGCCCCGCCCATGGGGGGGGCAAAAACATCTCTGAAGCCTGTGTGGCCCCAGCTTTGTGGGTCGAGGAAGCAGCGTGTACCCCCAGCCGGGCTTTCCCCATCTTCACTGGCTTTGCCATTCGGTGCGGGGAGAGGCCGGGGAGGCGTTGTCTTGCGCTCCGTCCCGCAGCCTGACTGGAGTGTGTCCAGGGGAAGGTCAGCCACACCCGGGCCAAGAGCCTCACACCAGGGATGGGCGAGGTGTTGGGGGACACAGGGCGCTCCAGACTCTCCCTGCACTGACGGCTGCCCCCTCTCTCCTCTTAGCCTGCCTCCAGTGCCCAGACCCAAGCCCCCCAGCCAATGGACACCCCCAGCCCAGACCCGTTGCCTTCGTCTTTGCTCGGGGAGGAAGAAAAACCTCAGGCCTTACCTCCTCCTGTTCCCCGGGGCCGTCGAGGCCGACGTCCCGGGGGGCCCACCTCCTCGAACCGGACTCTCAAGGTCTCCCTCCCTCGCAAGCGGGGCCGGCCCCCCAAATCAGGGCAGGAGCCCCCGCGGGTACAGGGGGCGACAGCCCCAGTGGGCAGCGGCGGTGGCAGTGACCTCCTGCTGATCGATGATCAGGGCGTGCCCTACACAGTCTCTGAAGGGTCAGTGGCAGGAGGGCCAGAGGGCTCCGGCCCCAAGAAAGCCCCTCACTTCTGCCCCGTGTGCCTGCGGGCCTTCCCCTACCTCTCCGACCTGGAGCGCCACGCCATCTCGCACTCGGAGCTGAAGCCGCACGAGTGCAAGGACTGCGGCAAGACCTTCAAGCGGTCCAGCCACCTGCGGCGCCACAGCAACATCCATGCCGGCCTCCGGCCCTACCGCTGCCCGCTCTGCCCGCGCCGCTTCCGCGAGGCGGGGGAGCTGGCCCACCACCACCGCGTCCACTCTGGGGAGCGGCCCTACCAGTGCCCCGTCTGCCGGCTGCGCTTCACGGAGGCCAACACGCTCAGGCGCCACGCCAAACGCAAGCACCCGGAGGCCATGGGGGTGCCCCTGTGCCCCCCAGACCCAGGGCCTGAACTGCCGTGGGACGACGAGGGTGTCCCGGCCACAGCTGGGGCCGAGGAGGGGGAGGGGGACGGGGAGGCGGGGCCGCAGGGAACAGCCCGGGCCTGACCCACAGCCCCAGCCGCCTCGCCCAGGGCCCCGCGAGGCGGGCTCAGCAGGCGGGCGCCTGGGCGAGGGGGCCGGGCCGCACCCCTGTCTCGCCGGCCTCCTGCTGTGGGCAGGGCTGGAGGGGGAGGGCCCGCACCTCGGGGTCCCGCCCCCTTCCGCCACCCTCCCCCGGACTGACTCGGAGGCAGGGCCCGTGGAAATAAATCTCTGCCTCCGGCCGCCTGTGTGTGTTCAGTGCGGCCCGGGCCGGCGGGAGGCCCGTCGGCGCCGCATCAGCCGGACGCCGGGGACGGGCGACGGCCGGCTCCACCGGCCCCAAGCTCTCCCGGCAAATGTCCACCCTAAGGAAACATTGACCCGTGTGCGCAAACGTGCTCTGGGGCCCCTTCCCCAGTCCCGCCAGCTTCCTGGGAGCTCGCAGCCGCCGCGGGGCGCCCCGCATCCTGCGCTGGAAGGAAACAGCCGGGCCAGAACCAGCACTGCGGGCCGCGGGCGGCGGGCGGGGCGGGGTTGAGGCCGAGGGGGGCTGATCGGGCCAAGGGGTGCGAACTCTGGGGGGCCTGAGGGGGGAGGCCCGAGAGGGTCAGGGGCCTGTGGGCAGGGGTGAAAGCGACGGGGGCGCGGGCGGGGCTTATCTCAAAGGGCTGGGGAAACCTGCAGAGGCGGGTGCGCGGTGGGGCGCTGCGGGGGGGCGCGACGGTCAGAGACGCGGGGGCCGGCGCGGCGCCTGCGTCGGGGGCGAGGCCCGTGGACGGAGGGACCCCGAGTGTGGCCAAGCTGGGGCCGCGGCCCCGACGCGCACCAGGCGCTCCCGGGGGGGTTCGAAGCACAGGCCCGGGCCTTGTGAGCGCTCGACCCGGGACAGGCCTGGGAATTTGCGTGCGGCGCGGCCCACTCGCCGCGGCCACGCGGAGCCCCCGCGGGGGGCCTGCTGCCCGGTGCCGGCAGAGCCCCGCGCAGGCTGCGGGCGCGGCCCCAGGGGCGCCGGGGCGGGGCCGGCGCGCGCCGATTCGCAGGCGATGGGCGGGGCTTGCGGCCTTCGACCCTGAAATGGGCGTGCCCCGGGGCGGGGCTGGCGTGGGGGCGGGGCGTTGCCGGACGTCGGGAACGTGTGGGCGGCACCCTAGGAGGAGGCGGGCGCCCAGGGCGCAGGCGCGCGTGGCCCCGCCGCCCGCCGGAAGCGGCCTCGGCTGCGGCCCGCGGCCCTGACCCAGTGCGCAGGCGCGCCTCCCGCCCGGTCGCCGCCGCCGCCGCCGCCGCGCCGCCCGCGGCCCCTCCACGCCGGCGCCTCGGAGCGCGGGCGCGACTTCCGCTTCCGGCGGGCGGCGCGGGGCTGCGGGGAGGGGAGGGGGCGGCACTTCCGGCCGGGCCCTCGGGTCTCCCGGAGCCGCGGCGCCTCCTCGCTCCTCGGCCTCCTCCCGGCGGAGACCCCGGCGCGGGTGAGTGACGGGCGCGGCCCGGGCGGCGGCGGGGCGGGGCCGCCCGGCCCTCGGGCCCCACTCGCCCGCTCCCTTCGCTGCTCCCGCGAGCCCGGCGGCGGCGCCCTCGGCGGCCGCGGAGCCCCCGCCGCGCCCGACCTTGCGGCCCGGCCGCCCCCTGCCGCTGCGGGGACGCCCCCGCCGCCCCCCGCCGGCCCCGCGCTGCCCGGCCCGCCGGGGCGGCCTGTCAGCCGCGGACCCTCCCGGAGCGGCGCCGCTCCCGCCGCCCGCGCCCCGCCCCCGCCGGCGGGCGCTCGGGCCGCGGCCCCGCGGGGTGCCCGCCCGGACGGCCCCCCCGGCGCTGGCACCTGCCGCCCGACCGCCGGAGCCCCCGGCCGCGACCGCCGCCCGCGGGGCCGCCCCTGGAGGGGCGCCCGTCTGGGCCGCGCCGCTGGCGGGGGCACGCGGGCGGGGGCCAGCGGGGCGGCGAGCGGCGAGCCAGCCAGTGCCGGCCTGGGCTCTCCGGGCCCCGCGGCGCTTCCCCCGAGCCCGAATTAGCAGTGACGTAGGCATGCCCAGCCCCGCGGCCGGCCCTGGGGATGCCGAGGGCAGAGAGCTGGGGTGCCCGCAGTCGGGGGGCAGCAGAGGCCCGCGAGGTTGGAGCTGAGGAGCTGAAGGGAGGCACCCGGAGAGGCTGCAGGTCCTAGGGCTTTGGAGGTGAGGACGTTGCCATAAATGATCTGGCCTTTGTCAGCTCTGCTAAGTCCAGAATGTTCTTCATTGGCTCAGCACACTGGGGGTGCCCGGAGAACAAAGTAGACAAATCCCACCGCCCTGGTGCGGTGATGCCAGTTCATGGGACAGACAGCTGGAAGCCAAAATAATTGGCGCCCGAGCGTGTGTGCCCTGAGCAGGAGGTGAGGGTGTAGGGCTCCAGGGGCCTGCGGCAGGAGGGCCTCTGTCAGACGTTCCCATTAGCAAGCCAGCCGCCCCCCATCACACCTGTGTGTAAGCTCCTCTCAGACAGCTGTGGCCGGGGGCTGCGCCCAGCCTGGAATGGCTGAGGACTGCCCTGGGTCCCACCTTGCGCTCCTCCGAGCAAACGCTCCCTCTTCACCTGGACTCACGTGCTCACTGGTTCCACAAGCCCTTGAAACGGGCACCGTCCTGGGGGTGGAGCAGTGGACAGAGCTGGTAGAAACCCTCACCTGCTCGCAGCCCCCTTCCAGAGGCGGGGGAGGGAGCGCCCAGCACCAGGACAGTGAGCAGGGTAAACGCCCTCACCTCCAGAGCCCCCTTGGATGCTGCTGCTGGTCAGCGGGGGGAGCGGGCTGGGTAGGGCAGGGTAGGGGTCACAGGTCATGGGCCTCGCCAGGGAGCAGATGCTCAGCAGAGTTGTGAAGGGGCGGGGGGCCACAGATGTGGGTGGTAGAGCAGGGCAGGCGGCAGAGCGGCCGTGCAAAGGTCCTGGGGAAGGAACGCAACCGTCCTGGCCAGTGGAAAAAGAGCCGGACCCGGAGGGGACCGGGCAGGTCACTGTCAGGGTGTTACCGAGCAAGCGGGTCACTGGGGTTTCGGCAGAAGAGGGACGCCTCCTCCTGCGTGCGAGTCAGCCTTAGCCGCACCCGTGCTGGGGGTCTGCTGCGGGGCTCAGTCACGGAGCGCCCGGGAACGGGCCTGTGAGCCGCTGGTCAATGTGGGCGGCAGGGCAGGGAGGTGTGGGGCGGTGAGCGTTTGCAGCATGGGCTGGAGCGGGTTTTGTCTGGGAGAAAGGAACATCAGGACAGCACGTTGTAGGGACAGCACACCCCAGGAGCCGTCTCCCGCATCCGCTCCTGCGCTGCACTCGCTAGAGCCGTGCCTTTCGGGGGTCAGTTCGCCCCTGGCCCTCTGTCCCTTCCCCCAGACAGCGGTGCTGTGGTAGCCGCCCCCTCCCCCCCCGGGCACGCGTGCGGGGCTCTGACCCCACTTGGCACCAGGCCAGGACCTGCCCTCAAGGCAGCGTGACCGCAGAGTGGCCCCCAGGTCCCAGCCTCAGAGAGACCTGGAATCTAATTCCTGCTTTCCCCGTTACTGGCACCTGAGCGTGGGGCAATGCCCTTCAGCTCCCCCATTTACAAAACGAGGCCAGTCGCAGCATAGCTCTGTGCGAGGCCTGGGGGAGCTGGCCCCTAAGCTGTCACAACTGTGAGCGTCACTGTGGGGCTCCGGCCCCCCATCATGCTCTCCGCATGGCATGTCTACCCCTGGAAAGACACCAGCTTAGGGGGAAGTGTCTCCTGCTCCAAGGGGGGTCATGACCCTCACCCCTGCCACTCTTTCCGCAAACAGCCCTTGGACCCCAGAATCATCCTGTCAGCTCCATCTCTGCTCCGCACCCCCTCCCTCGCCTGGGGAGTTTGCCCCTTTACTCACACGCTTCATGCACAGAAGCGTCACTTCATGCACAGAAGCGTGCCTCTGCGTGCCGCCTTAGCTGCATCCCCTCAGTACATGGGGTCTCCGTTTTTATTTTTATTTATTTTTTTAAAGTTTATTTATACAAGCACTGGGTACAGTCAGAGGCGGGTGAGGGTGAGAGGATTCACCAGCGCCAGAGCGGGGAACACAACAGGCAGACTGACGAAGTACACTGCTGAGGGGAGCAGCGGGCGGCGTGGGACCCTCGCCGGTGGCCGGGGATCGAACCAGTGCTGCAGAGGCTGCGGGCAGCTTCCCAGCCCAGCGCTCAACCGCTGCGCCACCAGGGGAGGCCCAACATTTTTATTCATCTAAGGAGCCAGTGACTCTTCCTGGACCCACTGGTGATGTGGGGGGTGTTGAACTCCCATGTCCCATGCACCCCCCCACACCACGGACACACAGAGGGGCCAGGGGCCAGGCAGTGGATACCAGCAGAGAGAGTGTGCAGGGGGGGCTAGTGAGTGCTGAGCGAGGGGCGAGGGCACTGTGCCCGCTGGGCCTCCTGGTGGAGGTGGCTGAACAGGGGAGTGAAGGAGGCACAGGAGAGCCTGGAGGTCTGCGGCGCGTCTCCCCCATGGCTGCTCTCTGTTCAAGAGGGTTTACCCAACCAGACAGCACCCCAAATAAGACTCCTATCCCAGCAGTTTCCCCTCCACAGTCTCCCAACTTCGGGAGCGCCCCTGCTGCTGGGACACCCCGCCCCAGGGCGCAGCTGGCCAAGTCTTGCTTGACCTTGGGCAAGGCCCTTCACCTCGACGGCGGCCTAGACCCCATCTCTGGGAGTCAGGGGGGGCAGTGAGCTTGTCGCTGGGGGTGCTGGCCTGCAGGGACGCAGGCTCCGGTGGCCGTGGTGGCGGGGCTCTGGGGTTCCTGGCTCTGAGGGTCCTGGCGGGGCGCCCTCCCTCCTACAGCACGCCCCACATCGCCCCAGCCCTGCCCTACCCCAGCCCAGGCACCCTGACTTGGGCCCCAAGGTGGCTGCCCCACCGCCCCAGCACACTGTGCTCCCTCAGGGTGTGGATGAAACCCGGGGTGGACATGGGCTGGCAGCTAAGACCCATCCCGGGGTGGGGACAGCAGGGGTGCCAGTGGGCTGGGTGGGGAGCCCTGCCCCGTGGGGGTGGGGGGTGTGGGCCCGCGCCGGGCTGGGCTGGGCCAGACAGGTGCAGTGCGTGGGGGAGAGGCCGGGGCTGGGATGCCCCTGGCGGACACCCTTGCCCCACACCCCAGCACTGGGGGAGGCTGGTCCAGAGGTGGACGCGGGGCAGGAAGGAGTGGCCCGTGGGCCGGCTCCCCTCCGCGCCGGCGGCCGAGCCGGGCCAGGCTTCCGCAGCCTTGGACGGGCCGCCCTGGGCGCGCCTGCGGGCTGCTGGTGCGGGCAGGGTGCCCGTTGCCCCCTCTGTAGATGGGGGCGGGGCGCAGAGGGGGCTCGGCAGCCGCCCGGGTCCCACAGTCGGGAAGTGGCCCGAGTCCGGCCTGCCGGGCCTGCCCGGGGGCCCCCTGGCGCGCGGCTAGGAGGGCCGGGCGGCGGGTGGGGCGAGCCCGGAGGCGGGGGCGCCGGGCTGGACGCTCGGCGCCGTCTGTGCCCTCAGCCACCGTCTTCTCCGCAGGGTCTCCGGCCGCGCGCCGAGATGGAGGCCAACCCCGCGGGCGGCGGCGCCGGGGGCGGCGGGAGCAGCGGCCTGGGGGGCGAGGACGGGGTGCACTTCCAGAGCTACCCCTTCGACTTCCTGGAGTTCCTCAACCACCAGCGCTTCGAGCCCATGGAGCTGTACGGCGAGCACGCCAAGGCGGTGGCCGCGCTGCCCTGCGCGCCCGGGCCCCCGCCGCCCGCGCCGCCGCCGCAGTACGACTACCCGCCCGCCGCCGCCTTCAAGCCCAAGGCGGAGGCGCCGGCCGCGGCCTCGGCGGCCTCGGCGGCCCCGGCCGCGTCGTCCTCCGCCGCGGCCAAGAAGCCCGACCCCCCGCTCGCGCCGGCCTTCGGGGCGCCGCCCCCGCCCCTGTTCGACGCCGCCTTCCCCGCGCCGCAGTGGGGCATCGTGGACCTGTCGGGGCACCAGCACCTCTTCGGGAACCTCAAGCGCGGGGCGCCGGCGGCCGCGCCCGCGGGGGCGCCCGGGCTGGCCGCGCCCGCGGGGACCCCGGGGCCGCTGCCCGCGCCCTCGCAGACGCCCCCGGGCCCCGCGGCCCCCGCCGCCCCCGCGGCCTGCGACGCGGCCAAGGACGACAAGGGCTACTTCCGGCGGCTCAAGTACCTGATGGAGCGGCGCTTCCCGTGCGGCGTGTGCCAGAAGTCCTTCAAGCAGTCCTCGCACCTGGTGCAGCACATGCTCGTGCACTCGGGCGAGCGGCCCTACGAGTGCGGCGTGTGCGGCCGCACCTACAACCACGTGTCCAGCCTCATCCGCCACCGCCGCTGCCACAAGGACGCGCCGCCCGCGCCCGCCCGGCCCCGGCCCCCGCCCCCGCCCCGGCGCGCCGCTGCCCGCGCTGGGCCCGCCCGCCGCCCCCGCCGCCGCCGGGCCCGCGGCCGCGCCCGCCGCCCCCGCCCCCGCCCCCGACGGCCACGCCGCCCCGGCCCCCGCCGCGCCCGCCGCCGGGGTGGGGGCGCCGCCGGGCGCGGGGGCGGCGAGGGCCCGTTCGCCTGCCCGCTGTGCTGGAAGGTGTTCAAGAAGCCGAGCCACCTGCACCAGCACCAGATCATCCACACGGGCGAGAAGCCCTACGCCTGCTCCGTGTGCAGCAAGAGCTTCAACCGGCGCGAGAGCCTCACGCGCCACGTGAAGACGCACTCGGCCGGCCTGCTGCGCCTGCCCTGCGGCGTGTGCGGCAAGGCCTTCCGCGACGCCGCCTACCTGCTCAAGCACCAGGCGGCGCACGCGGGCGCGCCCGGCCCGCGGCCCGCCTACCCCTGCGAGCTGTGCGGCAAGTCCTACTCGGCGCCGCAGAGCCTGCTGCGCCACAAGGCCGCGCACGCCGCCCCCGCCGAGGCGCCCAAGGACGCGCCGGGCCCCGCCGCGCCGCCGCCCGCCTTCCCCGCGGGCCCCTACCTGCTGCCGCCCGACGGCGCGGCCGGCGACAGCGAGAAGGCCGCGGCGGCCGCGGCGGCGGTGGTGTACGGCGCGGTGCCCGTGCCGCTGCTGGGCGCGCACCCGCTGCTGCTCGGCGGCGCGGGCGCGGGCGGCGCGGGCGCGGGCGGCGCGGGGGGCGCGGGCAAGACGTTCTGCTGCGGCATCTGCGGCCGCGGCTTCGGCCGCCGCGAGACCCTGAAGCGCCACGAGCGCATCCACACGGGCGAGAAGCCGCACCAGTGCCCGGTGTGCGGGAAGCGCTTCCGCGAGTCCTTCCACCTGAGCAAGCACCACGTGGTGCACACGCGCGAGCGGCCCTACAAGTGCGAGCTGTGCGGCAAGGTCTTCGGCTACCCGCAGAGCCTCACGCGCCACCGCCAGGTGCACCGGCTGCAGCTGCCCTGCGCGCTGGCCGGCGCCGCGGGCCTGCCGGGCCCCCAGGGCGCGCCGGGCGCGGGCGGGCCGGGCGCGGGCGCGGGCGCGGCGGGCGCGGCCGAGGGCCTGAGCTACGCCTGCTCCGACTGCGGCGAGCACTTCCCCGACCTCTTCCACGTCATGAGCCACAAGGAGGCGCACATGGCCGAGAAGCCCTACGGCTGCGACGCGTGCGGCAAGACCTTCGGCTTCATCGAGAACCTCATGTGGCACAAGCTGGTGCACCAGGCCGCCCCGGAGCGCCTGCTGCCGCCCGCCGCGGGCAGCGCCCCGCCCGCCGAGGGCTCGGGCGGCGCCGACGCGGCGGGCGCGCTGGACCACGGGCTGGCGGGCGAGGTGGGGGCGGCCGTGGCGGCGCTGGCGGGCGTGGCCGGCGGGGAGGACGCGGGCGGGGCGGCGGGCGCGGGGGCGGCGGCGCGGCCGCCGCGGGCGCCGAGCGCTTCAGCTGCGCCACGTGCGGCCAGAGCTTCAAGCACTTCCTGGGGCTGGTGACGCACAAGTACGTGCACCTGGTGCGGCGGACCCTGGGCTGCGGCCTCTGCGGCCAGAGCTTCGCGGGCGCCTACGACCTGCTCCTGCACCGCCGCAGCCACCGGCAGAAGCGCGGCTTCCGCTGCCCCGTGTGCGGCAAGCGCTTCTGGGAGGCGGCGCTGCTGATGCGCCACCAGCGCTGCCACACGGAGCAGCGGCCCTACCGCTGCGGCGTGTGCGGCCGCGGCTTCCTGCGCTCCTGGTACCTGCGGCAGCACCGCGTGGTGCACACCGGCGAGCGCGCCTTCAAGTGCGGCGTGTGCGCCAAGCGCTTCGCGCAGTCGTCCAGCCTGGCGGAGCACCGGCGGCTGCACGCCGTGGCCCGGCCCCAGCGCTGCGGCGCCTGCGGCAAGACCTTCCGCTACCGCTCCAACCTGCTGGAGCACCAGCGCCTGCACCTGGGCGAGCGCGCCTACCGCTGCGAGCACTGCGGCAAGGGCTTCTTCTACCTGAGCTCCGTGCTGCGCCACCAGCGCGCCCACGAGCCGCCGCGGCCCGAGCTCCGCTGCCCCGCCTGCCTCAAGGCCTTCAAGGACCCCGGCTACTTCCGCAAGCACCTGGCGGCGCACCAGGGCGGCCGGCCCTTCCGCTGCTCCTCCTGCGGGGAAGGCTTCGCCAACACCTACGGCCTCAAGAAGCACCGCCTGGCCCACAAGGCCGAGGGCCTCGGCGCGCCCGGGGCCGGGGTGGGCGGCCTGGCCGGGAAGGACGCCTGACGGGCCCGGAGCCCCGGCCTCGCTTCCGGGGGCCGCAGACGAGCCCCGGCCGGCCCCCGCCCCGCGACCTCAGAACAGACGCCCCCCCCCCCCCCCCGCCTCGCCGAGCGCTGGGGCGCCGGCTGAACTCGGCCCTGGCCACCCCTGCGGGCGCGCCCCCGCCCGCCCGAGGTGCTGCGGCCTCAGAGGCGGCGCCCCAAGCGCCCCTCCCTCCGGGCGTGGAGTGTGAGCGGGGTGGGGGTGCAGGGAGGGGGCTGGGTGCTCTTGGGGGGTGGGTGGGGTGGGCAGACGCGGCTTGTACAGAGCAGAGAATAATAAACCGTATCTCCATGCCCGAGGCCCTTCTTGCACCCCGGGGAGACTGGGCCTGCAGCGCTGGTGAGATTGAGGGTGGGGGGGGCTTTGTTTCCCTGTCTTTGGGTCCCCCGGCGCCCGTGCCGTCCCTCGCGTGCGCCCAGTGCCCCGCACGTGCCCCATCGGCCAGTGCTGAGGCCGCGGCCCCTGGGGCCTGCCTAGTGGGGTGGGGGGGGGCAGGGAAGCCGCTGTCCTCAGCCGCTGACTCCTTGCCCTTCGGACTCCTCCGGCATTCATCCACCCACCTGGCTCTACGGCCCCCCCCCCCACCGGGACCCTCAGCCAGGGCCGCCCCCGGCGGAGACCTGGCCCCTTCGTCGCTTGGGGCCCAGGACCCTGTCAGGGCCGCCTGGCTTTGCCTGGGGACGGCGTCAACAGCTGCTGAGTGTGTCCAGGCACCCCGCTTGTGCCCCCACAGTCCCCGGGTAGGGAGGGCCTGGAGGACCCGGCCCCTCCAAAGGAGAACTGGGGCTCCAGTCAGTCCCAGGGTGCCCGATACGGGCCGGGGGCACTGCCTGGACACAGCTGCCCATCGCGACGGTGAAGGCAAAGCGTGACCACCGCGCCCGCCCGCGGGGCGCAGGTCGCAGGCATCGAAGCCCACGGCAGTCGGGGCCGGGCAAGCGAGAGGGGACTCATCCTGGGCGGGGGCGATGAAAGCCCTTCCCCGGGGAGAAGCGGCCCGGGGCGCCGCCAGCCCAGCTCCCGATGGCGCCTCAGGTTGGCGCAGGGAGTGGGGTTGGGATCCTGCAGCCGCCAGGCTGGGCCACGCTGGGGCCACGCTTCATGTAGCCTTTTTTTTTTTTTTAAAGTTTGACTTAGTTGCCGACATTGGACATTCGAAAGAAGCTAAGGATTTTCTGTAGCACGCCCTGCCGGGACATCTGGAGGCAGGAGGTGGAGCGACCCGCTCGCATCCCGATCGTCTTCCCAACCTGCCCGCCAGCACCGGTTGCCTTCCTGGCTCCCAGTTCCGCGATCCCCCGGGGTGCCGGCTCTCTTCTCAAAGCCACAGAGCCCGGGGGAGGGCAAGGGTGGCTCTGTTGTTGGGAGGGTCCCTGGGGTGGCAGCGTGGGCCCCAGACCACTGACCAGGCTGGTCTGAGGAGATGGAGATGCACCAGGCTCCAGGCCAGTCCCTCAGCGCCACCGGCCATGGAGGGGTGGGGGCCAGGGGTCACCTGGGTGTCTGGCCTGGGCGGCGATGCCCACACGTTGGAAGCTGCTCACAGTATACGTGGTCCGTGGGTCCCCGCGGGGGGCGCAGCGGGTGACGGTGCACATCCAGGTGCTCCCTCCTTAGCAAGCACACCGAGTGTCCCCACCCCCCAGCTGAGTAAGACGTCTCCAAGTAGCTGGGCACGCCACCCCACCCTAAAGATGAGGCCAGCGAGGCGGGGTGGCACTTCGACTGGCAGCCGAAGCAGTGTGGCCTCTGTCCCACAGACACCCCAAATGCAAGGCCGACAGAGAGCCCTTCAGAAGGTCCTTTAATAGGAGAGCCAGAGGCGCCCCTTCCAGCCCCCCAGTTCTCACCCCCCATGACACCACTCGTGCTGGATCCCAGCCACCCGCCACCATGCCGTCCCCCAGCCCCTCCTGGGGTGCCTGGGGCCAGTGGTGAGTGGGTGGCTTTGATCTGGAGGGAGTGGAGGAAACAAGAGATGCCTGAGGCGCCTGTGCAGCCTGGGGGCCAGGGGCTGTGGGGGTGTCCAAGTGCTTCTGAGGGGGAGTCTGGGTGCACTCAAGTGGGGGCTCCCTTGGGAGCGGGGCACTGCTCTTGGAGCGGGTTCCATGGTGAGGCCTACACCAGAGTCGAGCACTCCTGCTGCAGCCTGGCCTCTGGCTGCCAAGTGATGCGATTGGCGCCTGCACCTGTGGGGCCTCTTCTGCCTGAGGCCGGTGGGCGCCCCAGGTTCAGGGCAATCGGGTGAGGTAGGCGAGGTTCCCGCCCCGTGGGCCGGGCAGCCCCCAACAGTCCGCTTTCTGCAGATGGACTTGGGGCACCGATTCTGCCCCTTGGCCTCAGCCCTGCCCCCATCCAGTCCCGGGGGTGTCTTGCAGGAACGAGGCCATAAATCCAGCTGTTTCTCCGGTTAGCTGGGCGCGCAGAGCTGCGGCGCTTCCTCGCAGTGTGGGCTTGCGGTGCGGCCTGGCCCTTCCTGCGCCTCCACCAGCTGCTCCCGGCGTCTCCACCCCTCCCAGCGACCTGCCGCCCCACCGGCCGCCGCCGCGTCTACTGGCCCGCCCCCAGCCCCGCCCGGCCCGGCCCCCCGCGCCCCTCCTCCAGGGCGTGTCCCGCCCCGCCCGCGCTCCCGCCCCGCGCGGCCCTCTGGCCGCCGGGGTCCCGCACGCCGGGCCCGGGCCCGTGGAAGTGGGTGCGCTGGTGCTTGCGGAAGTTGGAGGAGTTGTTGAAGGTGCGGGCGCAGAGCGCGCAGCGGAAGGGGCGCTCGCCGGTGTGGATGCGCGCGTGGCCGCTCAGCACCGAGGACTGCGTGAAGCCCTTGCCGCAGACGCCGCAGTGGTAGGGCCGCTCGCCCGTGTGCACGCGCTCGTGGTCGCGCATGTCGGACGAGCGGCGGAACGGCTTGGCGCAGAACCTGCACGCGAAGGGCTTCCCCGCCGCCGCGCCCGCCCGCTCCGGGGCCGCCCCGGGCCGGGGCTCGCGCGCGCCCGCCGCCGGCGCCTCCGGGGGCCGCCGCGAGCCCCCGGGCTCCGCCCCGTGCCGGCGCTGGTGCCGCAGCAGCGGCGCCAAGGCCTTGAAGGCGCGGGGGCAGAGCGGGCAGCGGTGGGGCCGCTCGCCCGTGTGCAGGCTGTAGTGCGCGCGCAGGCTGGCGGGGCCCGGGCAGCTGTGGCCGCACACGTGACACCGGCTGGGGTCCCCGCGCTGCCCGCCCCCCGCCGCCCTGGCCAGGTGGCCGTGTTCGTGGAACAGCAGGTCCGAGACCAGCCGGAAGGCGGCCGGACACAAGGCACAGTGCAGCGAGCCCGGCTCGGGGGGCTCGGGGACCAGCGGGGCGTCCGCCACCTTCACCACCTGGATCTCGATGAGGTCCGTCGGGGGCGTGGCCGGCCGGCCGTCGTCGGGCACCAGGACCTGGTGGGAGGAGGAGAAAGCGGGAGCCTGTGGACCCTGCCTCGAGGGCCCGCGGAGCCCCGTCCATGCACACGCCCAGCCCGCTGTGCACTGCCAGATCCTGCAGCCCACGCGCACAGCCGCCCGCGCGGGGACCCGCCCGCGCAAGGCCCGGCCCCGCCCCGCCCCGCCCCGCACGCCACGCTCCGCGCGCAGCCGGACAGCCCCCCGGCCGCCCAGAGCCTCCAGCCTCCGCCTTCCCCCGAGGCCACCTCGCCAAGCCCGGCTGAATGGCCTCTGGAGCACGGAGAGCAGGCCAAGCCCCTCCCGCGCCGAGCCCCGGCCCACCCCGCTGGCTGCGCCCACATTCAGCGCCCGCGCCTGGGCAGCGCCGTCCGCCCTCCGCGGACACCGGGCGCCCCCGCCCGGCGCCCCCGCGGCCTCCGTGCACCTGCCGAGCGCTCGCGCTCAGCCCCGGGGGACGCCGGGCTGGGGAGCCCCCGCGCCCGGAGACGGCACTTCGCTGCCCACCCCGACCCTCCCCGAGCCATTCGGGAAGCCTCGCCCACAGCCTGCAGCCTCCCTGCCCCGCCGGGCGGGCGCCCCGGCCCGGGCCGCGCTGGCCCCTCACGGCCAGTCTCCCCGCGGCTCACCGGAGCGCTCAGCCCCGGGGCTCCCGGCCCCGCCCCCGGGAAGCCCCGCCCCTCCCCGCCCCCGCCCGGTGGCTGGCCCCGCCCCGGCGCCGCCCCCACGGCGCCGCCCTGCAGCCTCATTGGCTCTCTGAGGCCCCACTCCGCGCCCACCCCGCAGGCCACGCCCCCCGCCGGAGCCCTAAATACCTCCCGCACCGGCCGGGTCCTGCCCTCATAAGCCCCGCCCCGGCCCCGCCCCCTTCCCGCGACCTCCTGCCGCCTCGCGCCCCCGGCCCAGACTGCCTTCCCGTGCGCACCAGGTCCGGCGGCGCCGGCGATCGCGGCTGCGGGGCTGCCGAGCGCGGACTCCCGGGCTCGGGGCGCGCGGCGGCCATCTTGTGCGCAGGCCCCGCCCCCGAGGCCGGCCGTCACCGGGAGGGGCGGGGCTCGGGCTGACGGCGGCGGCGCCGCGCAGGCGCACGGCGGCTCCAGTCGGCCCCCCACCCGCGAGCGGGCGCGGCGGCCCGGGGGCCGGGGCCGGGGCGGGCGACGCGGGGCAGCGCTGTCCGCCCACGTCGCGGGGTGCCGGCTGCCTCGGGCGCGTCGGCGCCGCCGGCCTCGTCGTCTGTGCCGGGAGGGTTTCGTGTCCCCCAGCGCGGGCCGGGGCGGCGGGGCTGCCGCTGTCGGGGGCGGAGGGAGGGGTCAGGGGTCAGCGGAGGGACGGGCAGCGGCGCGCCAGGGGCAGCCGGGGGGCCGGGCGGGGCACACTGTCGGGGGGCCGGGCGGGGCGGCCCGGGCAGCACCAAGGACAGGGCCGGCCGCGCTCTCGCCGCCCGCCGCTCACCCGCCCCCGGGGTCTCCGCGCGCTTCCCCGCGGCCGGCTGCGGAGGGTGGACCCCGGGCGAGGACGGACACTCGGGCGCCCCCGTTGTTCTCCCGCCGGGCTCAGCCGCCGGGCTGCGGCTGACCTCGCACACCAGCCTCCCTCCTCCTGTCTTCAAGACAGTGGGGTGGGTGGGGAGGGGTGGCCGCTCCAGCCTGGGCAGGCCCCCCGTCGCCTCGCCCGCTCCCCTCGCGGGTCCCCTGGGGCATAGGTGGCCACCGGACACTGACGGGCCTCTCTTGGCCCAAGTCGCTTCGCAAGTGGGTGAATGGGTCTGGACGAAGGTTTGTCTGAGACGAAGGCGTGTGGTCCTCCCACTGAGCTCCTCAAGTGTTTAATAGGCTCGGCTCTCGTGGCCAGACCCTCCTCTGTCCACTGCTGGTTCCTTGCTCACTTCCTTGCTCATTCACTGACACTCACTCAGACTCCTCCACCCCGCTGCAGAGATGAAGTGACCCAGGTCTCAAGAGAGGGAGGGCGGAGGGTAGCATCTGTGCCAGATCCTGGCCTGAAATTATTTAATAAAGAGAAATTTTTAATGTTATTTATATTTGCATAGAAAAACCAGGGGTGCAGACCAGAGGTGTGGGGGATGAGAGGATTCACCAGAGACAGAGTGGGGAGCAGAACAGGCAGACTGATTGAAATCCACTGCTGAGGAGAGCAGCAGGGAGACAGGAAGAGGTCTGCTGCGCGCTGTGGGTCAGCTGCCTGCCTGGGGATCAAACTCAGGCCACACTGGCTGAGGATAGCTTCATCGTGCTGAGACTCAACCCCTAGGCCACCAGAGAGGTCCAATAAAGAGAATCTTAATGAGAAACCAAATCACACCCGTCAGACTGGCCAATTTTAAACTTTACTATTGGGCGCTGGTAACTGGAGCTCCCACTCATTGTAGGTTGACGTGCCCTTGGTAATGATTATAGGTGAACTCGGGTACTTGTGCCCTGAAACACTTTACATAAAATGACTCGTTTAATCACACAATGTTCAACCCCGAAGAGTGAGATGCACATTAGAAGACAGAGAAAGGGCTGACTTTCCTCCCGCAGCAGGTACACGCAGTGCTGGGGCCCCAACACTCCTAGAGACCCGCACAAAATCAATTTATTTCAAAATCAGAAGCGAAAAGAATGTAACTCAGTCTAGCTTGTCTTTATACTGACACTAAACCAGTAACAGTCCTCAGGCAGTAAAGTCCACCTCAGACTTCCCTGTAAGGCCTGCCCATGAGCATAACAACTGGAGTAGCTCACACTTATGAGAGTTTGAGTGTGAGGACAGAACAGATTCAGGCTTTGTGCATTGTGAGCGTATACAACTAAGAAAAGTACTATAAAACTACACTATAGGGCCTTCCTGGTGGCGCAGAGGTTGAGCGCTGGGTTGCGAAGCTGCCCACAGCCTCTGCGGCGCCGGTTCGATCCCCGGCTGCTCCCCGGCCACCGGAGGAGGGTCCCACATGGCGCGCAGACCTCTCCTGCCGCCCGCTGCTCCCCTCAGCAGTGTCCTTCGGTCCTTCTGCCTGCTCTGCTCCCCGCTCTGGCTCTGGTGAATTCTCTCACCCTCCCGCGCTTTTGGCTGTACCCAGTGCTTGTATAAATAAATAAATAAATAAATATTAAAAAAAAAAAAAAACCAAAAAACTACACTATAAAGGGGCCTCCCTGGAAGTGCAGGGGTTAAGTCTCAGCACTAGGAAGCTGTCTGCAGCCACTGCAGCTCGAGTTCCATCCCTGGCCAGGGAGCTACCCACATGGCACAGCAGACCTCTCCTGTCTTGCCCCTGCTCCCCTCAGCAGTGGATTTCAGTCAAAATCTGCCTGTTCTGCCCCCCACTCTGTCTCTGGTGTGTCCTCTCACCCCCTGCACCTCTGGCCTGCACCCCCTTTCTTCTATGCAAAAATAAATATTAAAAAAATAATAATGTGACAGTTAACACATATGACCCCCCAGATTTTGGATCACATGTACCATTTTTTATTATTTGACTGCGTGACTCAGCCCTATACTTTCCCTGTGTTCCTTCAGTGCCTCCTTATATAACAGTTCTATAACATCACTTTCCATAAAGAGAACGGCAAGATAACTGGTCTCTCCTTTAAGGTCATGGACCAAAAACTACGTTTGCGGATAGCTTAAGGCACGTCTGTTTCAAATTCACAGCTGCAGTCGTGGCGTTACTGCCAGGCCTGTTCGGATATGAATTTATGTCCACAGGGCATTGCACAATTTGGATGATGCCAAGACGTGATTACTCTCCGGACTGCTGGCACTCGTTGCCCAGGGCAGGAATTGCGTCCGCGAGGCGCCCTGGGCAGGGGAGTTACCGCCCGCACGCCGGGCCCGCTGCGGCCTGGCCTGGCCCAGCCAAGACGCCGCCTCGCGCGGGCGAGGGCTCCTGGCGGTGGAGTGCGGTCCGCCAGGTGGACCGGCTGGTCGGATGCCGCACATGCCCCCGGCAGCGGGCTCCTTGTCACCCCGCCCCCCACGAATCCCGAGGTAGAGACACCTTGGTTCTGAGACCTGGGGGGGGAGGGGGGGCTTCCCCATGATCACCTTTGGGCAAGTTCCTCCCCATTCCCGGCCTTACGCCCCTCGCCCCGCGTCTGTGTCACGAGGCTGGCCTCTCCTCCTCGCCTCTTCTTGGGCGGGGCGACGAAGCTGCTCTGTGGGGGTGATCCCGCGGACCCCACCGAGGAGGGGGCGCCCCAAGCGCTAAGCGGGCCCTTCCTCTCCCAGCGCGCCGCGTTTCCACCCGGAGAGTTTTCTGCGGGGCCAGACACGCCCTCGCTCGGGCCTCCCCGGGGGCGCCGTCGCGCCTCCCCGGCTGGCCTTGAGGCACCCCGCCCTGCCCCCCACCCCCGAGGCCGCCGCGAGAGGGCCCGAGCGGCTGCGGGAAGCTGCTGCGGAGGAGTCTGGAAAGAATCGGGGTTCACGAGGCCGGGGGAGGGGTGGGGACCACCGAGAGGCTGTTGGCGGAGAGAGGGTCCGGTGGGAGGGAAACGAGAGGCAGCGCGCGGCTAGAGGGGCCGCGGGGGCGGGGCCGGCGGGGGCGGGGGCGCGAGGACTCAGGCCGACCCTGAGCACCGGGCTGGGGGGGTCCCGGATCGGCCTCAGGCGCCCTGGCACACCGCTGTCCTCCCACCTGTGAGGCGGGATGAGTAACTGCCGCTTCCCGGGGTGTAAGGTTGTGTCTAAAAATACCACGTGTGTGGGCCTCCCTGGGGGCGCAGGGGTCAGTCTCAGCACCGTGGAGCTGTCGGCAGCCGCTGCAGCACGAGTTCGATCCCCGGCCAGGGAGTGGCCCACAGGGCGCAGCCGACCTCTCCTGTCTCCCCGCTGCTCCCCTCAGCAGTGGATTTCAGTGGATCCACCTGTTCTGCTCCCCACTCTGTCTCTGGTGAGTCCTGTCACACACCAACCCCGCACCTCTGGCCTAGTATCCCAGTTCTTATATACATAAATAAATAAAATAAATCTTTAAAAACCACAAAGGAGGTATCAGATGAATGAGTTTGGTATTTTGCTGCAGGCATCATAGAGGAGTTAGGAGCAAGTTGGGTACATCGCTGTGTAAGGGCTTTAGCAGTGGAATTCTTCTGAAAACAGTGGCCTGAGGGCAGCCAAGGAGAGCAGCAGGGAGCCACCCCCCCACCCAAGCCGCACTTAGGGATTGGAGGCTGCCTTCTAAGGGAATGTTGCCAAGTAGCAGTTTCACTTCATGATGTGCATAGAGGCTGATACTGGCACCAGGTTTTGAGGGGGGGGGGGAAGAAAAGTTTCACTGTAAATTGGTTGGCAAAGTGCAGGAGGGAGATTCAAATCATCCTACCCAGCTGAGAAAGGGAATTGTTATAGGACAGGGAGAGGGGCAGCCTAAACCCCGCAAACCTGCCTATTCTACATGGGTTCTGCCATCCGCCGCATCAACACAAAACATAGGAGACTTTAATGGGAAGGAACTTTAATAAAACTAGGAAACAATACAGGTAAGGCAAAGAGTCTAGTTTCTAAATGAAGCACCCAGAGTTACCCGTCCCCTCGTGGGTAAAAGTCCATCCAAATGGGATTGGCCCAGAGCAAGGCCCCAAAGCCTGCCCCAAGTCTAAAGCATCTTCCAGTGGGGACCCACAGAAAAGGGTCACAAACAACCGGACAAGCCCGGAAGGAAAAGAGCAAAATCAACATCAAGATAAAAGCTGCCATGGTCACCTCCCCACGGGTCTCACCCACATCTGTGTCACCCAGTCCACGACCAAAAGACAAGCGCAGTTTCTTCACGTGTCTCTAGGCTCCATGCGCCTCCTCCAGGTCTCCTGGCTCCATCCTGCTTCCTTCCTCAGTCTCTTCTGCAGCTTCTCCTCTTCCTGCTCAGCTCCACCTTCCCTTGGGTAGGGCAGGGAACCTCCCCCTTTCCTGGGGACCACCCTGTTACAATATGAGGTTATTTAGGATTTGGGGACCAATGCTGAGAACAAAGGAGTTAAATTTTACTGGCTAAGGAGTGGGTTAAGAAAGCCGACTTGGATAATCACAAAATTAGTCCATATATGGAGAGGTTTCTCCAAGTGATTGTGTTACGGAGCAGCCCCGATATAAAACAGGTTGCCTGGCTATGGGTCCTCCCCAGCGCGCTTAAAAGGGACTTATGAATACTCCACTGCAGGCACATACAAAAGGTTAATAAAAGGTTTATTTACAAGGAAAAGGGAATTGAGGAAATGTACAACTCAGGGAGAAAATAGGGAAATAAAGTCTTTAATGCGTCCTACCCGATCCACCGACCTGGAAACCCAAAGGCACTCTCCGAGCTGGCGGAGAGCCAAAAAAGGGAATCCCCCCAAAGCCCACATGTCTGGTTTTATACCAAACCTGGCTGCTTAACCCCACCCTCAGCTTCCAGCAAACTTCCCTTTGGTGGTGATGGGATGTGTCTTTCCCAGTGTCCTGATGGCTTTGGTCTGGAGTGGGGGTGGGGTCCACAAAGCCTGTATGGGATTAGCTTTAGGACATCTTCCCACTAACATTTGGATCCTCCACATTGAAGGACCATGTCCTCACTACAGCCTGAATTCAGCCAGCCAGCTCCCCTGACCTGGGGCTCAAGGTAGCAGCTTCCCAGATTGCTCACATGGTATCATTCTATTTAGACTTCTGCTGTGTCCGTGAATGCAAACCTTAAAATAAAAGTGTTTTTTTCTTTTTTTATAACTATTTTTTTAAGATTTATTTATTCATGCATACAAGAACGGGGATACAGGCCAGATGCGAAGGAGGGTGAGCGGATTCACCAGAGACAGAGCAGGGAGCAGAACAGTCAGACTGACTGAAATACACTGCTAAGGGGAGCAGCAGGGAGACAGGAGAGGTCTGCTGCGCCACGTGGGATTCTCACTGGCCGGCCGGGATTGAACTGGTGCTGCAGAGGCTGCGGACAGCTCCACAGCGCTGCACTCAACCGCCTGCGCCACCACGGGAGGCCCTAAAAGTTTTTTTTTTTTAAGATTTATTTATTTATGCATATGAGAGCTGGGGTACAGGCCAGAGATGGGGGGGGTGAGAGGATCTACCAGAGACAGAGTGGGGAGCAGAACAGGCAGACTGACTGAAATACACTGCTGAGGAGAGCAGCGGGTGAGACAGGAGAGGTCTGCCTCACCATGTGGGTAGCTCCCTGGCCGGCCAGGGATCGAACTCATGCTGCAGAGGCTGCAGATTGCTTCATAGCTGCAGTGCTAACACCTTGCGCCACCAGAGTCCCTTTTTTTTTTTCCTTTATGCTATAAGGTCTGAGAGCAATTTAATCGCTTAAGCTCCGTTTCAAAAGTCAATCCTGAAAAAAAAAGTCCAGGCTCTACAGAAAAGCTTCCCTCTGGCAGCAGGAGCAATCCAAGACGTAGCACTGCCCCAAAGTGGGAGGGCTCAGGGGCTCTGAGCGGCTGTGTTTGCCCAGGCCTGGGCACCACAATCCTGAAGTGGGTCAAGGAGTGGATTTTTTTTTTTTCAGTCGAGGGAACCATGGAAGATTTTGCAACTGGTCAGATTATATCTGAGTTTTAGACAGATGCATCTCCTGTGTTGGCTGGCTACAGAGCAAGACTTGGAAGAGGCTGGAGCTAAAAAAATCTAGAAGAAACAGAATGAGGCTTGAACTAGGGGAGGGTGAAGGCAATGGAGAGCTCTACCAGCAGTTCTATGGAGAACCCTAAAATCTCTTCATGCTCCATTGTCTCATTTTAATGCCCTGGAGGATTTCAGTGGTGCAGAGAGGGTTGCAACGTGGAAAACATTAATCCCTGCGTTGCACACTGTGTTGAAGCCATTACTATACTTGGTAGTTTTTTTTTTTTTTAAGATTTATTTATTGGGGCCTCCCCGGTGGTGCAACGGTTGAGTGCTGGACTGCGAAGCTGCCCACAGCCTCTGCAGCGTCAGTTCAATCCCCGGCTGCCAGGTGAGGGACCCACATGGCGCGCAGACCTCTCCTGCCACCTGCTGCTCCCCTCAGCTGTGTACTTCGTCAGTCTGCCTGCTCTGCTCCCCACTCTGGCTTTGGTGAATTCTCTCACCCTCCCGCGCTTCTGACTGTACCCAGTGCTTCTATAAATAAATCATCTAAAAAAAAAGATTTATATATGCACGAACTGGGGTACAGTCAAGGGCGTGGGTGAGAGAATTCACCAGAGATAGAGCGGGGAGCAGAACAGGCAAATGGACGGAAGACACTGCTGAGAGGAGCAGTGGGGAGACAGGAGAGGTCTGCTGTGCCATGTGGGTTTCTCCCTGGCTGGCGGGGAATTGAACCCTTGTTGCAGAGGCTGCTGACAGCTTCACAGCGCGGCACTCAACCTGCTGCGCCACCGAGGGGGCCTGGTAGTTTTATTTTTAAAAAAGATTTATTTTTATTTACACATACAAGAACTGGGGTGTAGGCCAGAAGTAGGGGGGTGAGAGGATTTCCCAGAGGCACAGTGGGGAGCAGAATAGGCAGATCTACTAAAATCCAGTGCTGAGGGGAGCAGAGGGGAGACAGGAGGGGTCTGCCGCGCCATGTGGGTCGGCTCCCTTGCTAGGGATTGAACTCAGGCCGCAGTGGCTGGCGACAGCGTGGTAGCGCTGAGACTCAACCCCTGCACTAGCAGGGAGGCCCCCCTCCCCCAGAGATTTTTCTCCCACGTGCATCCAGGAATCCGAAATTGTGGACGCACTTTTTAACTTAAAATACTGCCTAGTAACATATTTTTTTTAAAAAGCAAACCACTTCCCGCTCCAGCCAGCTCTAGCTGGGAGTGCTTCTAGGTGGACAGGTCAGCCTTGAGTTGGCAACCTGGTGCCGGTGAGTCCCGGCTGGGCCCCAGGGCAGGTAGCCACCAGCCACGTGTGTCTAAATCTTAAACAGAAATTAAATACACTCTAACATTCTGGTCTTCATCACTGGCCACGTTTCAGGACACACCGTGTCAGGGGAGGGCGGCCTGTGGGCATCCCCGCCGGCCCGGAAGCGGGTCTGGACACCCCTCCCCGCCCAGGCCCTGGGGCTGGTGGCCACGACCACCCACCTCCCTCTCCCCCCTGGGGGCCGGCGGGGGCCTCCCGCTGTCCCGGAGCGCGGCACCCACAGGGCGGCCGCTCCCTGCACAAACCGGGCTGCTCGTTCGAGGCGCAGGACCCCCACCTGTGCACGCGGGCGCGGACTCCCCCGCTCGGCCCCGCGCCCCGCCCCCCCCCGGGCCGGCGCCCCGTGCCTCTGCCCAGGGGACGCGCGCCTCGCCCGCACCCCCGCGGGCCCGGCCTTCCCGGGCCTCAGTTTCCCCAGCGGCGGGAAGAGCGCACCGCGCCGCCTCCCCGCGCGGCCCGGCCCGGCCCCCTCCGTGCCCTCCCCTCGCCCGGCGGGGCGCAGGCGGGCGGCCGGGGGCGGCGGCGCGGGCGGCGCGCGGGGGCGGCGGAACCTTGCTAGGGGGCGCGCGTTTCCGTCCGGCTCCTTTCCCGAGGACGCCGCCGCCCCCCGCGCCCGCGCCCCCCGCGCCCGCGTCCCCGGCGCCGCCGGCCCGGAGTCCCCGGAAGTCTCCCGCCGCCGGCGCTCGCGAGGGAAGCCCGGGCCGCCGGGACCTCGGCCCGCTGCTCCGGACCCCGCAGGCCGCCGCACCGGGTACGGGCGCCGGCGGGAGGGAGGGGCCGGGCCCCGGCGGGGGAGGGCGCCGCGGCGCGCGGCGGCGGGCCCGGGGGGCCGGGGGCGGCGGCGGGCCCGGGAGCGGAGCGGGCCCGGGCGCGGGGAGCCCGGGGCGCGGGGCGGAGGCGCGGACGCGGGCCGGGCTGCGGGGGCGGGGCTGGGGCGCGCGGGCCCCGAGGCGCCGAGCGCGCGCGGGTGGAAGTGGGGAACTGGGTTAGTGGGGCTCCGCGGAGGCGGCCAGAGCGGACTTGGCAGCGGCCGCGGCCGGCCGCGGGGCCCAGCAGGGCCGGGACCGGGGTCCGGGGGCGCGGGGGTCCCCAGCCGGCGCCGGGAGAGGAGGAAGCGCCGCGGGGGAAACCCCGGGCGGGGAGCGGGTGTGAGAGAAAAGGCGGTGAGGACGGCAGGAGGAGCCCAGATTTGGGGCTCGGGGACGCCCCTCGCTGACAGGCTGGGGGAGGCCGGGGGCGGCAGGTGGGCCGGGGGCTCCGAGCCGGGCTGCCGCGTCCGGATGGACGAGCGCGAGCGACTTTCTTTTTGTGGGGGCGACAGCGGGGTGCAGGGCGCTGGGCGGCAGGGAGCGGTCCCGGGGAGGGCGGCTTCTGACCTGTCTCCCCCGCGCTCCCAGCCGCCGCTCCCGATGCTGCTGCTGCCGCCGCGGCCGCCCCACCCGCGGTCCTCCTCCCCGGAGGCCATGGACCCACCGCCCCCCAAGGCGCCCCCTTTCCCCAAGACGGAAGGGCCTTCGTCCACGCCTTCCTCGGCGGCGGGGCCCCGACCCCCGCGGCTGGGCCGCCACCTGCTTATCGACGCCAACGGGGTTCCCTACACGTACACGGTGCAGCTGGAGGAGGAGCCCCGGGGCGCGCCCCAGCGCGAGGCGCCCCCCGGAGAGCCCGGCCCGCGCAAGGGCTACAGCTGCCCGGAGTGCGCCCGCGTCTTCGCCAGCCCCCTGCGGCTGCAGAGCCACCGCGTGTCGCACTCGGACCTCAAGCCCTTCACGTGCGGCGCCTGCGGCAAGGCCTTCAAGCGCTCCAGCCACCTGTCGCGGCACCGCGCCACGCACCGCGCCCGCCCGCCGCACACCTGCCCGCTCTGCCCGCGCCGCTTCCAGGACGCCGCGGAGCTGGCGCAGCACGTGCGCCTGCACTGAGCCCGCCCGCCCGGCCCGGCCCGGCCCGGCCCGGCCCGGCCCGGCGCGCCCCGGGGGACGCACCCCCTCCCGCCCGCGCGCCGCGCCCCGGCGCCCGTCCCCGCGGCGGAGGCAGCCGGGGCTCGCCCGCGCCCGCCGCCGCCCGCGCCCTGCGCTCAATAAACATTCCGATCTCCACGCCGGGCTGCCGTCTGGTCTGTGCGGGCGCGGGGCGGGCGCGGGGGCGCGGGGCGGGCGCGGGGGGGCGCGGGCGGCCGCCGCTCCCGGGAACCTTCCTCTCGGCGCGCGTTTCTGGCCGGAGCCCTTTCCCGCGGGCCCGGGCGCCCCGCCCCCGCCTCCCGCCCCTGGACCCTCCCCGGTGTCCCCCGCTCCGCTCTCCCCTCGCCCGGCGCCGCCAGCTCCCGGGCCCGCGCGCCCCGCCCCGCCGCCCCCTGCCGCGCCGAGGGTGGCGCGGGCCGCTCCCGAGGCGCCCGGACCCGAGAGGCCGCCGCACCGGGTACGGGGCCGGGAGGCGGGCAGGGGCGGGGCGGCGCGGGCAGGCGGGGGCTCCGGGGCGGGCGGGGCCGGCGCTGTCCAGGGCGCCCTGCGGGGCCGGCTCGGCGTGGGGTCCCCCGCGGCGTGGGGTCCCCCGCGGGGAGGCCGGGCCTCTGTGGAGCGGGAGGAAGGGCCTGCGGGTGGCCGGGCGGCCACGGCTGGGGCCGAGGGGCCCGCGCGCAGCTGACAGCCCCGGGGCACGGCGGCCCCGTGCGCGCCCCGCGCTGCAGGAGGACGAGGACCGGGCAGCGTCAGGCCCGGGCGGTGCGCGTCTTGGCGCCGGGGGGAGCCCTGCAGTGCACGAGGACGGGGCGCGGCAGGCCCGCGGCGGGGGAGGGAGGCCCGCGGGGCGACCCCCTTCCCTGTAACCCCATCCTCTCTCCCACCCCCAGGCCTCGGCCACCCCTCCGGATGCTGGTGCTTCGGCCCCCCTGCCCCCGGCCCCTGGTGCTGCCCTCGATTGCGGCCATGGAGGCTCCGCCCCCTCGGACGGCTCGCTCCCCAGAGCCCGGCCCCTCCTGCTCCACGGAGCCGCCCCGGGCCGCGTCCCCGCCGCGGCCCCGCCACTACCTGCTCATTGACACGCAGGGCGTCCCGTACACCGTGCGGGCGGGGCAGGAGGCCCGGCGGGAGCCCGCGGCCGCCCGGCCCGGCGCGCAGAGAAAGTGCTACAGCTGCCCGCAGTGCTCGCGCGTCTTCGAGTACATGTCCTACCTGCAGCGGCACAGCATCACGCACTCGGAGGTGAAGCCCTTCCAGTGCGACACCTGCGGCAAGGCCTTCAAGCGGGCCAGCCACCTGGCGCGCCACCACTCCATCCACAGGGCGGGCGGGGGGCGGCCCCACGGCTGCCCGCTCTGCCCCCGGCGATTCCGCGAGGCGGGCGAGCTGGCCCAGCACAGCCGGGTCCACTCGGGGGAGCGCCCTTACCAGTGCCCTCATTGCCCGCGCCGGTTCATGGAGCAGAGCACGCTGCAGAAGCACACGCGGTGGAAGCACCCGTGAGCCGCCACGGCTCCCGAGCCACGGGGTTGGGGGCTGGGCCCTCCACATCTGGGCTCGTCCTGGACACAGACCCAGCTCCTGGGGGTGCGCCCTGCCCGCAGGAGGTGCCCACGCGCCCTCTGCTGGCCTCCTGTTTGGTGGGCACTTGGAACAGACCTCCCTCTCACAGACCGGGGTCCACTCACCTGCCTCCCAAAGGCCGACCCCTCCCTCCAGCCCTGGATGGGGGCAGCGCTGTGGGTGCAAATCCCCAGCGTCCAGCGTGGCTGGGGGCCAGCAGGAAGGCCGCCTTGCTGATCATGGGGGAGCTCCTGGACCTGCCCCTGACCCCAGCCAGGGCTGGAGACCCGACACCCAATAAACACGTTTCCACGTTGAGCACGGGCGCTCTGTTCTGGGGCATCGGCCGGCCTCTGCTGCTGGCGGGGAGCCTCAGCCAGGGCTGACAGCTGGCCCTGGCCTGTCCGGCTGGGGTGCTGGGAGGTGGCCCTGGTGAGGCCCAGCTTGCCCGGACTCAGGACATCGACACGGTGTTGTTAAATATATTTTTTAACCACTATTCCGAGGAACACAAGGTGTTCAGATTTGCAAAATACAGGGGAGGCCACTGTGGGAGCCACGCTGGCCACGGTTCTCTCCTCCCGGTGAGAACAGCCGTTCCTAGCCCCAGGCTGGCCGCAGCTGCCCTGGCGGGGAGGGGGTGCTGCGGGCAGCGGAGCGGGAGGAGGGCCGCCGCAGGGGTGAGGCGGGCGCCCACAGCCCGCTCCAGTTCCTGCGAAGGCCGTGGAGGCGTCCTCGGCAAGCCAGAGCCGGACCGCCTTTCTTCGCGGCCTCTGGGCTGGAGGAGCAAGCGGGCCAGCTCCGCTCCGCAGCCGGGGGAGGCGCCGCCCCCGACGCGTGCAACCTGCGAGAAGGCCGCGGCCTGACCCGGCATGGCCGCGCCCCGCGTGTCCACGCATCCTCCCCACGCCGCCGCAGGTGAGTGGCCTGAGGCCAGGGTCTGCCTGAGCAGTCGGCTCTCACCACCAACCGGGGCTCTGGGGGGCTGCCCCGACCCTTTGCGGGGCGCTCCGCCCACGGCCGGGCACCTGCTGTCGGCACCGGGGGCCCAGCGGGTCCAGCCGGCAAGGGTGCGGGGCGGGGGGCGGTGGAGGGGCGGGTTGCGGGCTTCGTTTGCAGCGAACGGCTTAAGGGGGTGCTCCCCGCGCCCCGCTTGTCCGCGACCGCTGGGTGCGGCGCTGCCCACCGGGGGAGCCCCGCGGCCGCCGCTCTCCAGGAACCGGGAATTTCGTGATGCTCCCTGCCCGGGCTTGGGGCGGGCGCGGGGAGCGCTGCCAGGGGCCATCGCGCAAGTGCAGCCCTGGCCGCCGCCGCAATCGGCCGGCCTCGCCGGGGACCGCGGGCTCCCGGTGGCCGCGCGCCGGACCGGGCGATGCCGGCGTCCTGGCCCGCCCCGCGGCTCGGCCCCGAGACTCGCCGCCCCGGCCGCGGCGCCCGCGCGCGCTCGGTGGGCGCTTCCCTCCGCCCCCCGCGATACTTTGCAGACGCTCCCCGGCGCCGGGCATGGGCGCCGCCGCCGTCGGTCCGCGGGCCGGATTCCGCACGCGGGTGGGTGAGCGCGGGCCCCGGGCCTCCGGCCGCGGGCGCCTGCGGGCCGGGGGAGACCGCCGCCCCCGCGGCCGCGCGCGGCCCCCGCCGGCCCCGGCCCCGGCCCCTCCCCCCGCGGGACAAAGGGCGGGGGCGCATCCTCGCGCGTGACCCGCCCCCGCACTGCGCACGCGCCCAGCCGCCCACGGGGGAGGGTCGTGGTCACCCCCGCGGGCGGGGCGCCGGGGGCGGGGGCGCCGGGCCGAGCGGCCCCCCTCGCCCGTGGCCCCGGGCGGCGCCGCGAGGGTCTGCCGCTCCGGCCCCGGGGAGCCCGCCCGTGCCCCTCGCCTCGGGGAGCCCGGGGCGGCGCCCTCGCCGGCGGCGCCTCCTCCCGCGCGCGCGAGGAGCGGGCCCACCTGCCCCGGGATGGCCCCCCATCTGTGGCTGTCTCCGTCCAGTGCCCCTGAGGCGCCCAGCTGCCCGGGTCCCCTGAAGCCGCGCCATGAACGACCGAGCCGGCCGCAGGAGGACAAGTGAGGAGGCTGGGCTGCTGCCCGTTCCTCCCGGGCGGTGCGGGGGCCTGGCCCGCGGGCCCCAGCCCGGGGTGACCCGCCTCTCCTCTCCAGTGAAGAAGGACGACGAGGGCCTGGAGCTCCCCATCCCCTTCGACGAGGAGCCCCGCCTGGACCCCCAGGTCTTCTACAGCCTGAGCCCCTCTCGGGGGACCTTCGAGGGTGAGCGGGGGCGGGGCGCGGAGGGCCGCGAGTTGGGGGCCCGGGGGTGCCTGGGTGTGACCAGGCCCGCCCCCCCCAGAGCCCGCAGAGCCCGCGCCGCCGGCCGTGGCCCTGATGACCGGCGTGAGGGCGCAGCTGCACATGGCGCTGGAGCGCAACTCCTGGCTGCAGAAGCGCATTGAGGACCTGGAGGAGGAGCGGGACTTCCTGCGCTGCCAGCTGGACAAGTTCATCTCCTCCGCGCGCTTGGATGCGGGTGAGCCCCAGGCCCCGCACCTGCCCCCGGCTCAGCTCCCCTGCTGCTGGGCTCCCACCGGTGCTGCCCCCACCCGGGGGCCAGTCTCTGGCCCCAGTCTGGAGAACACTCCTCTTGCGTCCTCCCTGTTCCCTCCAGCTCCCGCACCCCTCTCTCATTCAGATGAACCCCCCTTGTTTTTCAGTATCTATGTCTTGGGTGACTCCTCTGCTTTGATCACCTGCAGTCCGGGTCCCTGGCACCTGCCACGGCCTTGCCGGCTGATGGGCCCAATTCTGTTCTGGCTGAGCTCAGGGTCCTCTGGACTTGCTTGGCAGGAACCCCAAAGCCAGACCTCTTCCAACCAGCCTTCTGGGGGACCCTCGTGACCTGAAGTCAGGGCCTGCCTTCCCCAGCCCATAGCCTGACTTGTGCCCTCAGCCTGCCTGACCCCTGGCCACCAGCCTTAGGCACCAGCTGAGCTCTCAACCAGGCCCTAGGGAGATACCCCCCCAATCCCGCTCCCCCCAGCATCCAGGCCCTAGGGAGAGGGCAGCACCCCCCAGCATCCCTGCTTTCCCTCTAGGCCATCCCTGGGGCTCCTTGGGACCTGTGGTTCACCCCCTGCCCCTTGCAGATGGAACTCTTACGCCCCCACCCCTATTCCTGCAGCTCATATGTGTCTCCCTGTCCCCTCCCAGAGGACCACTGCCGGGTGAAGCTTGGGCCCCGCCGGGTCGAGGGGGACAGCCGGGGTGGCCCTGGGGCCGAGGCCTCAGACCCGGAGTCTGCAGCGTCCTCGCTCAGCGGAGCATCTGAGGAAGGCAGCAACAGCGAGAGGAAGAGGCAGAGGCAGAAGGGGGGCGCTGGCAGGCGGCGTTTTGGGAAGCCCAAGGCCCGGGAGAGGCAGCGGGGTGAGCACAGGGCGGAGGGTTGGGTGCTGGCAGGTGACCTGAGCAGGCCTGTCCCAGCCTGGGGGTCCCTGCTGCTAGCACTGGGCCCAGTCTGCCCCAGCTGCATGTTGGTGCCTCTTGGGTCTTGTGATCCCAATGTGGCAGGGGCCCCTCGGCCTTGCAGAGCCTGCTTCCTCCTGTTTATGGGGGAGTCCCTGGGGTTTGGGGACCCTTGCCTTTAACCCAATTTATCCCCTGCCCCTCTCTCCCCCCGCGCCCCCCATGCACCTCTCCCAACCCTGTCCCGGCTGTCCTGCCGTTTCCATTCCCTTCTCCCGCGGCGGCCCGCGTCTGGCCTCGAGTTTATGTCACCCCTGTCTCCTGTGCCCGTTCGGCTGCCTCCACCCCTCGCCCGTGTCGCCCGCCGGCCTGCAGTGAAGGACGCGGACGGCGTCCTCTGCCGCTACAAGAAGATCCTGGGCACCTTCCAGAAGCTCAAGAGCATGTCGCGGGCCTTCGAGCACCACCGCGTGGACCGCAACACGGTGGCGCTGACCACGCCCATCGCCGAGCTGCTCATCGTGGCCCCCGAGAAGCTGGCGGAGGTGGGCGAGTTCGACCCGTCCAAGGAGCGCCTGCTGGAGTACTCGCGCCGCTGCTTCCTGGCGCTGGACGACGAGACGCTCAAGAAGGTGCAGGCGCTCAAGAAGAGCAAGCTGCTGCTGCCCATCACCTACCGCTTCAAGCGGTGAGCGCGCCGCGCGCGGAGAACTATTCAGAGTTTAATTAAAGAGACGGTGAATTTGGAATAAACTTGGCCCCGGACTCTTCCTGGGGGGGGCGTTACCACGGGGAGGGGGGTGGCTCGGGCGGGCTCGAGGGAGGACGGGGTGTCATTACCCGCCGGGGCGGGGGCTCGTGGGGCCCGGCCCGCGGGGTTCCCCCATCCCCGCGCAGGCGGCCCCGAAAGGCAGGGCCGCCCGCCCGGCAGGAGGCGGTAACGCCGCCCGTCTGGCTCGCGGAAGTGGCCTCGACGTCGCCGGCGGTACCCGCGCGGCGGGGGGGGGCGCGGGCGCGCTGACGCGGTTGCTACGGCAACCGGGCGAGGGGCGGTGCGGCTCAACCGCCGGGAATAGGGCGCCAGCCGAGGGCCGGGGAAGTCTGCGCACGCGCGTTGGAGGCCGCCCCCCGCCCGGAGCCGGGCGAAGCTTCGCCGGGACCCAGCTCCACGCAGGCGCAGAAGCGCAGCTCGGCCCCCTCGGCTTCCGCCCTGCGCAGGCGCACAAAGCCGCGCAGCCAACCTCCGCAGCGGCCGCGCGCACCCTTCACCCCGCCGGCAGCTTTTGTCTCGCGCAGCCTTGTCGGGCCCTCCGCGAGCCCGGCCCTTCTCTGTCCGCTCTCCCCGCCCGGAGAGCCCGGCGCCGAGGCCCGGCGCCCCGCCCCGCACCCCTGCCCCCGGCCCGCCTCCTCCGTCCTCCCTCCCTCCTCGGGCCCCTGAGCCGGAAGGGGCCGAGGCGCCGGCGGAAAGAGCCGAAGCTGTCCCCGCGAGCGAGGCCTCCCGAGGCGGCGGCGGAAAGAGCCGAAGCCCGCAGGAGCGGCGCGGCGCCAGCGGGTCTCGGGAAGGGCCGCGGGTGCGGCCGAGCTGGTGCGGCGGGGCCGCGGCGAGCGCCGGGAGCCTGCGCGGAGCGCGAACCGGGGCGGTTGGCGTGCGGGGCGGCGGCTGCGGGCGGGCCGCCGCGGAGGCCGCGGACTGGACGGTTTGAATCGTCGGCGGAAGCCGGACTCGGGCGGCCGGCGGAGCAGCGCGCGGGCCCGCGGGGACGCCCGGGCGCGGAGGCCGCAGCCTCCGAAGAGCCGCGAGGGCCGGGCGCGGCGCAAGCCCCAACTCGGGGGCCCTCGGAAGCCGCCGCCGCCGCCGCCGCCGCCGCCGCGCTGCGCGCAGGCCCCGCCGACGCTGCGGGCCGGCCGGGGCGGGGCGACTGGGCGGGGCGCGCCGGGGGCGGGCCGGGGCCGGGCGAGCGGCGGCGGCCGGAAGTAGCCGAGGCGGGCGGCGGAAGTCGCCGAAGCGGCCGGAGCGGGCGGGCGCCAGGCGAGCCGAGCGCTGCAGCGGGCCCTGCGCGGCCGCCTCAACATGTCGGACTTCGACGAGTTCGAGCGGCAGCTCAACGAGAATAAGCAAGGTGAGGGCGCCGGGGGCGCGGGGCGGCGGGCGGGGCGGCTCTCGGCTCGCGCGCCATGTTCCCCTCGCTTCCCTCAGGCCCGCGCGGCGCCCCCCCACCCCGCCGCGGCGCGCGCTCGCCCACGTGACCGCCGCCGCGCGCGCCCGGGAGGGGGCGGCGGGCGCATGCGCGCCGCGCCCCGGGCGCGCGCCCCACGTGGCCCCGCGGGGTGGCCGCGACCCGCCGGCCGGCCGTCGCTCCGGGCTCGCCTCGCTGGGCCTCGTTGCGGCCGGAGAGGCGGCGAGTCGGTCCCCGCAGCCCCCCTTCCCCCTGCCCGCGCTTCCGCTTCCGGCCGGCCCGCTGCCCGCTCCCCACGCCCCCTTTGTTCCAAAATGGCGCCGGCGGGCGCCTTCACGTGGGCGCGGGCCGGGCCCCCCGCCGCCCCCGCCGCCCCGCCGCGCCCGCCCTCGGGCCCCGGTCTCCCCCGCGCTCGGCCTCGGCTCGGAGTCGGGGGCGGGCGCCGGGCCTCGGGTGCCGGGGCCGCCCTGGGGTCCTGCTGGCGCTGCCGGGCGTCGCGGGCGCGCACGCGTCCCCCCGTTTCTCTGTCCGCGTGGGGCGCGTCGGGAGGGCCCCGAGGGGGCCGGAGGCGCCTTGGCCGGCCTCGCAGCCGAGCCCCTGCGCGCCTCTGCGGCCGCGCTCGTCGTGCCTGCGGCCGCGCTGAGAGCCGGGGCGTCGCCGCCGCCGTGCGGCCCCAGCCCTCGCGGGACCCCGGGTCCCGCCGAGCGCTTTGCGCCCGTCTCCCAGGGGCGCCGTGGCAGCCCGAGCAGGGCCGCCGCCTGCCCGGGGCGGAGGAGCCCGCTCCCGGGGTCGGTGTGTGGTTTGCGCGCGCCCCCGTCTTCGGCCGAGTCCTCCGGCTCCGGGGGCCCCACCCGAGCCCCCTGTGAAGAGAAGCCGGGGTTCCCGGGCTCTGCGCGGCGCGTGCTGTCGGGGAGCACGGCCGAAGCTGGCGCTGGGCCCTGCGCCGCACAGCGGGGGGGAGCTGAGGGCGTCCCCAGGGGAGGCGGCGCGGGGTCCTGCCGCGGTTCCCTGGTCTGGGCGGCCCGGCCCGCGGACCCGGCCAGTGCCCCCGGCTGGCGGCGCTGTGGCCGCTGAGGCAGCCCACGCTTCCGTTCCGGCCCGACCACCCTGTGGGGGCCGCGGCGCCAGGCTCCAGGCTCCAGCCTGCCTCCTGTGTCTGGGCCCCGGGGACTCAGCGCCCTTGGCGGCGTCCCGCCCCGGTGGGCTCCCGCGCTGTCCCGGCGGGTCCCGCCAGCTGTGCAGCGGCAGGACCGCACCGGGGTTTGCGGCCTGCTGGGCCAGCTGCTGGCTGCCCCCGGCGTCGCCTCCTGTGTCCGGGCTGCAGCCTCAGATGTTGGGCGGTTCTGCTGTCAGAGATGCGGGTGGCCTCCGGGGCGTGGTGGGGGGCGTGGTGGGCGTGCAACTGCACGAGCCGGCACCCAGGCTTCTCTTTGGCCCCTACGCTGCCCGCGCCCCTTGGTTTCTCTCTCCGGCGCTGGCCCCTGGCCGTGTGACCTGAGCGCGGTGCCCATGCGCCTGTCTGGAGTGCCGCTCCGCCGCCTGGCACCCTGCACCCGAGGTGCCCTGGGAGCCGCCGCTCACACTCCAGAGCCGAGGTCTCTCCAGGCCCCGGGTAGCTGGTGCTGGTCCTCTGCAGGGCCAGGGTCTGCTTGGGGCGCGCCATGCTGGGGCCAGCCGTCATCTGCTGCAGGAGCTAAGGGGCTGTTGGGGGTGGAGCTTTGGGGGCTTTGTTGGCAAGACCGTGCTGTTCCAGAGCGAGGGGGCCGGGAGTCTAGGTCCAGCGCCCGTGTGCTGGCCTTCCCGGGAGGACGGTGTTTTGGGGCCAGCAGGTGGGCCTGCCCCTCCCTGCTTCCCGAGGTGGGCGGGCATCCTGCAGGGGGGGTGCCAGTTGAGGGGGCCTCCCTGGGTGGCGGTCCCCCCCAGCCCTGGGCCGATGGTGGGACTGGGGGACGACAAGTCCCTTCGGGAAAACATCATCGGGTCTCTTGATTCCCCAGCCTCTAGCCCTGCCCCTCCGGGGACAGCCTGGGGTCTGGCCCCTCAGCCCTCGAGGGGACCAGGAGCCAGCCTCCCCTGCCTTCTCTGGCTCCCAGCTCCTCCGGAGCGTCCTCAGGTATCTCACGCCCCGGGGCGCCTCCCGGCCCTGCTCCCTCAGGTAACCGGCGCCCGTCTGCCCGGTGCGCCCCGGACGCCTGCTGTCTGCCCCTCCACCAGCCCCTGCCCATGGGGGCCTCCCTGGGGCCGGGCAGCGCCGTGCAGGGTGGGCTGGGCCGCCCCTTCCTCAGCTCACCTCTCTCCCCACGGCCAGAGCGGGACAAGGAGAACCGGCACCGGAAGCGAAGTCATAGCCGCTCCCGCAGCCGGGACCGCAAGCGCCGCAGCCGCAGCCGCGACCGCCGCAACCGGGACCAGCGCAGCGCCTCGCGTGACCGGCGGCGCCGGAGGTACGGGTGGGGGCCGGGGTGGGCGGGCCCTGGGCAGCGGCTCGCCTGGCTCTGGGTGCAGGGTTCTGCTCTGACGTGCTCCCCTCGCTGCTCGCTCTGCTCTCGGGGGCGGGGGGCGGGTGGGGTCCTGCCGCCGCCTCTCGCCTGTTTGTCCGTCCTGCTCTGCTCTTGGGACCTGCGGGTGTCTGTGGGGGTGGCAGGGCCGAGAATGCCTGCTTATCACGCCCGCCATAGCCCTGCCTCTGCCCTGGGGCTCAGAGCCCTGGGGGTGAGGCGTGTGGGGAGATGGTGGACCCCGGCCCCCCCTCCATGGTTTTTCTCCCACCCCCAGCAAACCTTTGACCAGAGGCGCTAAAGAGGAGCACGGTGGACTGATGTGAGATTATCCCGCCGCCCCTCCGCTCTGCCCGCCGCGGCCTAGGGGCCCTCATCCCTGCCGAGCCAGCCCCCGCCCCGCTCCTGGCCCCAGCCCTGGGGAGAGACCCTGGCCTGAAACCAGCCCCGGCCCCTGGGTGGTCCTGACCAAAGCTGAGTGACCCGGAGGGGACCCTGGGGGGCGTCAAGGCCCCCCTTTGGTCCCACTGAGCTTGCCCTGCCCCACCCCATCCCTCCCCAGCCGCTCCCCGCGCCACGAGAAGAAGAAGAAGGTGCGGAAGTACTGGGATGTGCCGCCGCCCGGCTTCGAGCACATCACCCCCATGCAGTACAAGGCCATGCAGGGTAGGTGCGGCCCCGCTGGGCGGGGGTGGGCGGGGTGCCCGGCCCGGCCCGGGGTCTGACTGCACCTGCCTTCCCGAAGCTGCCGGCCAGATTCCAGCCACCGCCCTCCTCCCCACCATGACCCCCGACGGCCTGGCGGTGACGCCGACGCCGGTGCCCGTGGTCGGCAGCCAGATGACCAGACAGGCCCGGCGTCTCTACGTGGGCAACATCCCCTTCGGCATCACCGAGGTACTGCCCGCCCCTGCCCTCCCGCTCCCCTGTGCCCCCTGGTCCTCCCCCCTACCTCCCAACCTGCACGGGTCAGACTCTGCTCCTGCCGGACCCCCGGCCCCCTCCCAGACGGACGATGGAGTTGAGCCAGCCAGGGGCCGGGCTGGGGCGGCCCTCCCTCCCTCCTCTTCCCT